ATGTAGATATTTGCAAATAATCTAGAAACATTGTTGTTTATTTTATTAGTGTATTACGAATCCCAACTGCAGCCCTCGCATTTGAAAACGAAATGCATTTGTGTTTGTATGTATGTATCTGTGTTCCTGTACACGACAATACAAATACAAATTTTTTCTGCCAAGTTCAAGGACAAGACTGCTGCGACGCGTCGCTTTTGACGCAACTCGTTGGCTGTACATGTTCTGTTGGTGCTTTTAATGCAGTTGCCACAAGTTTCCTTTTTATTTTCTTTCACTTTTATGAAATTTAAGAAAATATTAAAAATTAGAAAAGTTAAAAAAGTTAAAATAGATTTACCAAAGGAACCATCTTTCTTTTAACTTCTAAGTTCATGGGTTTCTTTTTTTAAGATTTAATATCCAATGATTTGATTAAAATTATATTTAATTTTATTATTTTTAGTACTCTGATTACTTACTTTTGTTAATTGTTTAAACAGAAATAAATCTTAAGTATTCGATGCTGTTTTTTTTGGTCGATAACCTGTCTAACATGTTTTTGGCAAAAACAGAACACAATTTCGAATATTTGCCCATGTATTGTATGTACCTAATATTATACAGCTGTTTCCAACCACCAATAAATAGCCTTATATAAATTCTTGATCGGTCACTTCCAAGTTCGAACTCTCTTTTGTAGATTGTATCTGAAAGATAGCACTTAAAAATTAGGTTAAAATTAACTTGAAGCCGGAACCAAATGCTGAAGCACAAGCCTCCAGGATACGCCCATCAATATTTTTTTTAATCATAATTATTTCCAATGCCGGAAGCCCAACGAGAGATAACTCGTTTAACTTTAGAACGAATTCCTCAAAAAATTTCCAGAACCCTGGCGGCACTCCCTCCAAAAAAAAAAAATTAAAAATCAAAATAAATTCAGAGATTATTTTTAAACTGCATTAAAAAGTGTAATTCAATTTTGTGTAATTCAAGCAAAAAAAAAAAACACTTTAAAAAACAAGAGACTGTAATTGGAGTCTCCCCCCAATGCAGTAGCAGCGCAGTCGACGTCGCTGCACTCCCGAAAAATAAAAGGGAAACACTTGTGTGTGCGATGGCCTCTTTGTCTTCGTTTTGAGTTTATTTACTCAAGTTTACTTAATTGCATTTACTCTGAAGTTGTTACTAATATTACGTTGAGGCATGTGTGTGCTGTGAATGAAGACCCCCCCGCCTGGGAGTGGGGCCTGCACGATCACAGATACAGATACATTCGCTCGTTGAGGTTGTCGTTTTTGGGTTTCTTTTCTTCACACACACTCCGAAAATATCGTTGTGAGCTTTTGTTGTTGCTCTTGTCACGGCCCGTGCAGTTCGTTGACCCTTTTGTATGGCCAGCGTTGGATTGAGGTTGAGCAGAGTAGCGTCATGCCGGAATAAATGTACATAAAAATAAATAACTCATGCAGATACATCACAAATAAAATCAGTAACAATTAATAATCAAATAATAGAAAATAAGTGACTTTGAAAAAAGTATGCAACTCAAAATCCTCAGAAGTTCACACACACAGAGGCACTCACAAAGCTGCAGCTCGACCAAAGCCGACTGCAACGCCGACGTGGGCAGAGCAGCTGCGTCGTGCCTTGCTGCACTCTCACATTCTCAATGTCGCCACTCACTCTCTCGTCCCCACACTCATACACGCCTGACTTGGGGGCTGTTCTCGTTGTTGTCTTGAACTTGAACTACACGTGGAGGCCGTGCACGAGTTTTCGACTCGCTTGCGGAGCAGCTGGGCATGGCGATGCCATAAGGAGGCAGTGCACGAGTTTTCAACAGCCGGCAATCAATGCGCGTGCTGGCCACCCAACCACCCACCCCGCCCACTCACCACCACTCGGCCCTCTCGCCACCTCATACTCTCATCTGCAATGAGTAAGCATGTTGTTCTGTTCGTTGTGCGGTGACTGTTGCAGCGGCAGCTACGCCAGCAGCGAGGCCGTGTGGGTGGGGCGGGTGGAATGTCAAACGAAAGGGAAGTCGCTTGCTGCGCCATTTATATACATACATACATATGTACATACATACATACGTGGCAGTGGTTTTTCCGACAGAAAAGTGAAAACACCTAACAGAGGGTTGTTTCTTCTCTTTAACCAGAAGCTTTAAAATTTCGTATTTAAAATCATGAACTTGCGTAATACCAGTAGAACCTACTATTACGCTACATATTATAGTTCTTTCTTTTAGTTATTATTTCATTTCATCCACACTACACGGCTTTGCATCATTAGCGGTTTGAATGTGCGCCTGCCTGCCCCCTGTCTTGGCTGCTTTTTTGACCTAGGCCAACCGCTACGACCCACGCAATTTGTGCGTGGCTCTCTGCTCGTCCGAGCTGGCGTAGCGTCGGCGCTGGCGTCGACGGCGCTGCTGCTGCTGCGCTGCCATGGCTTAGACATGGTGTCTAGACCTTCGCAATAAAAATCTAAACAAAGTTGAGAAAAAAGTACATAGAACAAGAGATAATAAATAACTGTAAATGTTCTTCAGATACAAGTTCGGAAAATGTATCTAAGAGATTTTATAAAACTTAAATAGTAGCAGAATTATCAGAAAAGTAGTAGAATTGGTAGTTTATTTTCAGTTCTTAAAACTAAAATGTTAAGCAAGCTGCAAGTACTAAAATAGTACAAAATACTAACTTATAAAAGGAACCTAATAAATTTTTAGTGACTTTGTTTTAAAGAGAAACTTTTTTTCATTCTTCCATTCATTATAATTTCTAAAAACCTATTTCAAAATAGTACCAAAAATGGTCAATTTATATACATATGATCAATAGTATGTATGATAGTTTATGATATGGTTAATAGTTATGATTAATAGTACCAAAAATGATCAATTTAAAAAAAAAGCTCCAAAATATAAATACTTTCCCATACAAACTCCAAATAAACTTTATACTATAAATAAAAGAAATCGTATACTCATCAATTTGTGTTGTAATGGATATTCGGGTACTCAGGTACTCAGAACAGAATATGTACATAAACAAATCGGGGAACCCAACAGTGAAAAGAGCTGGGGAATACGAAGAGCTTACAATTTGCTTATTGAATAGTTAGTTCATTGAACCTGCAGTATGGAAAGCAGACCAAACAAAGAACCCAAAACCGATATCTTACACCCGACTACTATTATACCCTATTTTTTTGTTATTCACAGAACTTGAAATAATGTTGTAATACCGCTTAGACTTTGAATATTACTAAATATAAATTCGTAATCATATTTGTTCATTCTAAATAAGCATGTAATTATTTAAGAGATTAGCTAGCAAGTTGATTGCAAAATATAAATAAATATACATATATACATATATATATTTTTTACTTATTTATATATTTGTTTTGCTATAAAAAACAAGCTCTATTATGATATTATACAATATAATTGGTTTGTAAAATGGAAAATTTATATAGTTTTGCTGTGCTTATAAACTAGACATTTTTATTACTATATTTAACTATTAAAAATAACCAGATTATAAAGTGTATGACCTATTTCAAAGTATTCATAACCATTTAGAAATATTACTGAATAAATAGACAGAAATTCTTCTCTCTCCGTTTACTGATCTATCCAAACAACTTTGAGATTCCACTCTTAACCTTTTCTGGCCATAAAACTAGTTTCAAGCCCCGCTCTATTTCTGAGCTATCCCAACAAAATAACGGTAGAAATATGGACAAAGTTGTTCTTTTATTTGTTGTGTGTGTTGTGTATCTGAGCTGGAAAACCTCGATCATAAGCCACACGAGCATGCTTTTAGCTCCATAATGGGTAAATTTATTTATCGTTTGTCGTACCTTCAGAAACTTTTTGGTCGGGTAGCCCCAAACGAGCACTACCCGAAAGTATTCGGATCTCTGGTTTCTTTAGTGTTCGGTCTTCGGTCTTCCGTCTCCGATAGTCAGATACTCATACAAAAATAGTTTTTATGTCGAATGTTAATGAACTTTTGCGCTAGTTTCACGCTCAGCCGAATAAACATCCGAAGAGCAATCCGAACAACAAAAATAACAAAAGCCGAAAAAGTTTTTTGAACTTTTCACTCAAAAAATTGTATCTTTTCGTTCTTGTTTGTCTTTTTTGAGGTTTTGTGAAGGGGAACCTGGTAGTAGGCTTTCTAAATTTAAGCTTAAGGGCAGATCTTGAAATTATGTCTACAAAATACTAATTATTAATATTCTGTAACTAATTACTGATTATTTAGTTAGTCACATAACATAATTACAATTAAAAATTATTTAAAAATATCATCTACTTGAAAATACCGCAATGTTAAAATAAAAATCATCATTACTAATCATATGAATTAGTCATTATTTTCGTTATTTCATTATTTCTGAACAGAAATGATTCTATTCTATTCTGGTACCAAAAATTCCTTCTTATCAGAACCCACTCAAACCAGAAAATTACCACTCAAATTGGAAAAAAATCCCTTTAGTCCATTTCACTCAAACATTTTCCAATTGTGGGAAATTTCAGATGGACTTGGGACCAATTTTTTTTGGTGGTTGGTTTTTCCGTTCCATGAAGTTTTTGGGGTTTGAGGTTGAATTTTCGGCAACTCACCCACCATTCTCAGTTGAACCATCAAACCTAGAACTTCGGCACCGAAAATGTGAAAGTTGTGTGTGTGTGTGTGTGTGTTGTGCGTAGTATTAACCGAAAATGACCGATTTCTCAATGAACGATATTCTGAGATCATTTAGGAAAATGCGCATGAATAAGGCATCGGGTCAAGGCGGTCACCACCAATATAATAACCATCATCAGAACAACTATCGTCATCAGCCGCCGCAGAACATTCAAATCTATCAGCACACCTATCCCATGCAACAATCAAAGGATTTGAAAAAAATCATTAAAATCATTAAAAAGAATTTAATCAAGGAGAAAATTACACGTCAAATGAAGATTCTTGTCTAAAAATAATACATACACTTATCATCGATATGAATATGTAAATTGAATATATTGGAATATATTTTAATCTTAAGACTGCAGCTATAAACCACAAAGGACTGATAATACCGAGAACTGATATATGTTCCGATAAAGTCTGATTTTGCAAACCAAACGTAATCAATTCTATATACAAAATACAATTTTTTGAAAGATCTCTGAAAACTTGCCATGTAACTAGGAAGTATAAATCAAAATCAAAATGACTGAAAATAAGAAAGATACCACTACTTGGAGTACTAAGAAAATTTGGATTAACGATGTTGGCAACAAGTCGGATAATGACTTGGTGGATATATCCAAGACCAAAACAAAGGTCGTTACTAAAAAATCGGCCAAAGGTAACAAAGAAAATTTTCTTACCGGAAAGTTCGAGTCCGGTTGTTATCTTTTTTTTTTTTGTCGCACCCTCTTTTTTTTGGCGTCGCCATTTTGATTTGGTATACCCAGTTTTAGGTTTCGGGAGAAGAAAATGTGGGGGGTTTACATTTTCATAACAGTAAACAAGAACGAGAGGGAGAGTGCCAACGGGGCGGAGAGGGTGGAATTGGAACTATGCCGGTTGCAAAGCTCTGGGCTTATCCAAAATATCCTCTCATTTCCCCCGAATGGGAAATATTTGAACTCTTACATATTGCGTAGTTTTTTCGAAGACTTTCCCCCAACTCTACCCTCTCTCTCTCTCTGACTTTCACTCTCTCTTTCAATTTCCTTGTATATTTCTTTTTCGGGGAAACACCGGCAATAAGAAAAGTGCGTAGCAGTTAGATGTTCCAGGGGTGGTTTATCCCTTTCCACTCCCCCTGTTTTCCAAGGGGCTTTTCCCAACCACCCGTATGGAACTTTCTATCTGTTTGGGGGGGTTTTTGCGTATTACTTTTGGGTTTTTCTTTGTGGCAGGATCAGGTCAATGAAACTTGTAAAGCAGGTTAGGGAGATATTTTTGGGGATGGGTGTGTTTTAATACTCCTAATTGTATTCTTAAAATAATCTTTATAATTATGATTATCTTTAAAACCATTTCCCTTTAATTATTCCAGATTCAACCGCATCCAAAATGGTTTACTATCCTGCTAACCAGCTCCTCATAAAAACGGAGCAACCCAGTCAGGCTCAATTTTGCCTGCAGGTGCCACCCACTCTGACCGCGACGACATCGACTTCGGGTCCCGGCCTCAGAATATCGTCCTCCGGCGGTCAGGAGCATTATGAACTGCTGCAGACACCGCAGCAGCGACAGTTGCAACTCCAGCAGCAACACCTCCAGGAGCAACAACAGTTCGACAACTATCAGCGAGCCATCCAGCAGCAGCAGCAGCAACAGCATCAGATAGTTTCCACGTCGACGACACCAGTCAACCGGATTAAGACTGAGGTGACCGGAAATTTTGCCCCAGCCGTTGCACATCCCCAGGCGCAGACGCAGCCGCAGCCGCGAAAGACCAACACCAACAAGCCCCAGTTCAAGTGCGAACAGTGTGGCATGACCTTTGGCAGCAAGTCGGCGCACACCTCCCACACCAAGTCGCATGCCAAGAACGCCGAGCTGGCGCTGGGCGCTGGGATGGGGGAGGCAGGCAGTGCTGCCGTCACGTTACCCCCGGCCATCGAGCTGAACGAGGCGGGTTTGCCGGTGGGCATTCCCAAGAGTCCGACCATCAAGCCGCTGGCGAATGTGGCAGCCGGAGCCGATCCCTATCAGTGCAATGTATGCCAGAAGACGTTTGCCGTTCCTGCAAGGCTGGTGAGTAACAATAAAGGATATAAGTACTATGAAATTCTAATCCTAATCTTCCCCATCTCTTCCAGATCCGTCACTATCGCACCCACACCGGCGAGCGGCCATTTGAGTGTGAATTCTGCCACAAACTATTCAGCGTCAAGGAGAACCTGCAGGTCCACCGACGCATTCACACCAAGGAGCGTCCGTACAAGTGCGAGGTCTGTGGACGTGCCTTCGAGCACTCCGGAAAACTCCACCGCCATATGCGCATCCACACCGGCGAACGACCACACAAGTGCTCCGTCTGCGAGAAGACTTTCATCCAGTCGGGCCAACTGGTCATCCACATGCGCACACACACCGGCGAGAAGCCCTACAAGTGCCCGGAGCCGGGCTGCGGCAAGGGATTCACCTGCTCCAAACAGCTGAAGGTGCACTCGCGCACCCACACGGGCGAGAAGCCCTACCACTGCGACATCTGCTTCCGTGACTTTGGCTACAACCATGTGCTGAAGCTGCACCGTGTCCAGCACTACGGCTCCAAGTGCTACAAGTGCACCATCTGCGATGAGACTTTCAAGAACAAGAAGGAAATGGAGGCTCACATCAAGGGGCATGCCAACGAGATTCCCGACGACGAAGCAGAGGCGGCAGCAGCAGCAGCAGGCTCCTCGTCCTCGGTCGTATCGCCATCCTCGCACGGCGTCAGTAGTGGAGTATCGGAGAGCAGCAGCAACTCGCCGCCCAGCTCCCCGGCGGCCACCAAGAAGCCTCGTCAGCCACGCCAGCCCCGTGGAACCAAAGCGACGGCAGCGTCTTCTGTCGCCTCGGCCTCACCATTCTCTCCCAGTTCCCCCAGCTCTACGTACTCGCCCTCGACCAGCAGCCTGGCCTCTCCTCCGCCCACGACGGCCCACTACCTGCCCGCCCCTGTAGAGCAGGATGCCCTGAGCCGGGACAGCGGAGTGTCCAGCGCCCAGCTAGCACACAGCAATTATGCGGACGAGGAGCTGCCCACGGACCTGAGCATACAGCAGGTGGCGGGTCAGGTGCCCACCCCAGCTGTCAGCTACTACCAGGCCCCGCCCAGTCTAGTGGAGTTGCAGCCCCAGGCAGCCGGACTCACCATCAATCCGGCCCTGCTTGAGGCGGCCAGCATGGCACGCCGTCATCACGACAACGACGATCAGGATCGGGAGCGCGACCAGGACGAGGACGTGCATGCCGCCGCCTGGCAAATGATTCAACTGCGTCGTGGTCATGCAGCCACACCCCCTCCAGAGCAGCAAATACAATACCAGCCTGTCCCTCAGCAGCAGCAGCAGCAGCCACAGCTGCACGTCAGCGATCTGGCGGCCAACTATGATGACACCCACGAAGCAACAGTTCTCATCGAGCACTTCAAACGTGGCGACCTGGCCCGCCATGGTCTCCACAAGGGTTATGCGCCCGTGCCCAAGTACGAGTAAGTAGTAGAACTTTGTTGAGAACTTGGAGGAGATTACTAATCATTCTTTCTTTATCCAACAGATCTGCCTTGCCCAATCCGGATATCGTGCGCCGAGTGGAGGCAGCCATCGGACTGAGGTCCAGCACAGAGTCCCCTGAGCGAAGCTCGTCGCCGGAAAGCGACTCCCTGCTGATGGCCGACCGGAATGTGATGACCCTCCCGCTGCGCAAACGCAAACACTACATGAACAAGGGCGAGGGCAGCCAGGTGGAGCTGGAGAAACCCCAGGGAGCTGGCGGAGAGGTTAACTCCGCTAGCGGCGTTGATGCATCGATGGATACCTTGGATAGTTCCGGGTCGAAGGTGATGCGGATGAGCTCTGTCATCCAGTTCGCCAAGGCCTCGTAGGGGCTGGGCCCAGACTGGAGCCCCATCCCTACTCCTCCAATCAGCATAAAGACTGTCCAAACAAATTCTAACTGAAATTAGACTAAGCCCTTTTCTTTTTGAGATGATAAGGAACGTATGGGAGTGAAAGGATTTTTTTTCGAGCATCGAAGAGGAAAATGCCAAAAGTATTATAAAGCGGAAAAAAAATTGTTTTAAATTTACATTTTTTAGATGGAGAAACTCAAGTTCGAATGAAGGGATTTTTGTTAAATATTTTGTTTGGAAAAAATCACTGTTTTTCAACGTTATACGATTTGGACTTTAATTTGGCAAATATTGTTTCTGTTTTCCTGTGTTGTAACTTAGTCAAATTGCAGAAACTGGCATTATGATGGGTATTAAGCGTTGGCATCACTAATTATTAATTAATAAACAGAATAACTACAAAATGAAGAGACATTCAAGCATGAAGCGTACACAATAAGCATGCGTGCATTATTTTACAAAAAAAAAAAAAATAAAATAAAAGAAAACAAAAAACATAATATATCTACGGAAAATGAAAGCCATATTGGCATTTAACATATTACCTATAAAACTTATTTATTATTGAAATAAACTCTGCTCGCCAAACTTCTTCCTCCCCTCCAAAATTAGTATAAAACATCATCATCGACATCATTTATCCACCATTTGATAAGCATTTTATATTTTATATACAAGAACATAAAAAAAACACACGAAACAATTCAAAAATTGTCAAAAACAACCGACATTGAAAGCATTAACACAAAAAAAGATTTAAAATTAAAACACACAGAAATGGTAATTGAACTGATAAGCAAGATGCAAGCAAAAATAAGTAGATTTAAATATTTACCAACCAGAAAATAACAAATTATGATTAAGTGCTTCAAAAACATAAGTTAATTTTTAGGTCTAATTTGTAGTATCAAATATTGGAAGAAAAAAAGTAAATGAAATCATAATTCAAATAAAACAAGCATTATAATAAAAATGTAATCTAAAGACTTTGTTTTTTATTGAAAAGGAGGATATGCGAAGAATAAGACAACTTTTTAAGTTTTTTAAACAAATGGCTATACATTTCATTTATTTGTGACAATTATTTTTATGTTTAAGCCACTTTAGTTCAATCAACAAACATTTTATTCATAAAAATGATTCCACGAGAAATTTGACCATTTTTCTTGGTGTGTGCCCATTTCCATGTTTGATTTTCGTATAGTAACTAAAGACTATTATTGAAATAAATCATATACAACTGTTAGAGCGGACGAAAGATCACTTGATTGATCTGAGAGACAAGGAGGAAAAGGGCTAGAGAGATTAAATTATATTACAATTAAGCAAACATTGAAATTAGTTAAGAGATAAGGCAACCGGCACAAACTATACACTTAAATTAATAATCGCGAGGGGTCTTGTGGGCCTAATACATAACTAAAACCTGTGTACATAATATAACGTATATTTTTTTTAACTCGTCACCCCAAGTGCTCATCAGATGCCAAAATAGGAGCACATCACAAACACTATGAAGACCATGAGGATAATAAAGGCAATGGCAATCCAAGCGGGGATCGTACCTAAAATAAAAAGAAAGTGAGACTACTTTAGAGATATAATATCAGCACACTTACGTCTTTGAGGCAGACTGTGGATGCAGACTTTGTTGTCCACAGAAATGGAGATCACAGCCGCCTCGGTGTCGCTGGAAATGGGCGGTCCTTCCTCATTGGTGATTGGCAGAAACTGCAGGCCCGTTACGAACATGGAGTGTGCATGAGGAATGTGGAGCACGCGCTACAATGGACAAAAATTCATAAAAGTAATACACTGAACCTAGTGCTTAAGCTAGGGATGTAGATACCTGCAGACTAAATGCTATGTACATGGATACGCTTCCTGAGAACATCGTTCCGACGGCCAAGAACCGTCCATCGTCTCGCACCGCCAGCGAGGCCAAGCTTTCATCAATGCCCACCGCCTGGCGTAGCTGACCGCTGGCGCAATCCCAGTGCTGAAGGAAGCCGCGCTGTCGGCCAACCTTTCCCAATGGATTGGCGATGGTAAACAGTCTATACTGGTCCTTACGCGCCTCCACTGTACCGTAGCGGCAGCGTTTAAACAAATACTTGGCACCCTCGGGCGTCTGCCACTGCAACTTGTGGTGTAGCTTCCCATTTCCCAAGTCCCATACTAGACCATGGGAGTCTTTTGAGATACTGGCGATGTACTTGCAGTCGGGACTAAAGTCTAAGTCATCTATCTCCTTGGTGTGTGCCGGGAGCGCAGCGGCCAAGCTCATTTGCGGAAAAGACCAGACCCTCAGCTTCCCGTCAGTGCCACCGGTGGCCATCAGTAGCCCGTTACCGCTGATACGCACCACCCGTTGCAGCGGTTCAGCGCTCTTGAGAAAGTCGGTCTGGACGACATCCGCCGCCTGGATGTCGAAGCGCAGTCGCTTGAATTGACGCATTATGTCTGCGGCTGACGTTGGAGGCTTATGGCCGTTGGAAAGGTTTTCCACTCCAGAGGGAGCGTTACGTTGGCGTAAATTTCCATTCTCATGTGGTCGTTCCGCAGGAGCTGGTTTTCCGTCTCCGATTCCATTACCATTGCCGTCCTCCTCGGACTCGATCCGTGGTTGAACATAGTACATCTGACAGTGTGCCTCCTGGCCAGCACAAAGATAGCCTCTCCTGCCTCCATTTCGGACGGCAAAGTTCATCACCACGTTGGCACCTGTTTCGTGGCGCAGCACCTCCTCCGCGCAGAAGTGACTCCCATTGTGGTACAGCTCGTAGATCTCCTAAAAAAAAGAACATCGGTAAGTCTTGTTCAAAATTAATAAAGGCTGACCTTACAAAGCCATTGGCGACGCCCGTTTTGCTGGAACCGCCTCCTCCAGCCACTAGGATGTGACGGCTTGTGAGCACGTCGACGGCGTACAGTGGAAAGTTCACACGGGCCAGCAAGCCATCGCTAGGACGGCGGGTGGGGGCCATTATCAATAATAAATGACAATCGACCGACTCTAGGGGCTGGGGATTGTTGTGGAGTCGCCCACTTTATCAGGCCAGGCCGAAGGGCAAGTAGTAGATTGAGTCTAGATACTGGCAATTTTCGGCTTTCAACTGCCTCAGAAATGTGGTGCGCTTAGGAATGCTGGGGACTTTGTCTCAGCTGTCTTTCCTCATCCCTGGCTCCTGTTTGGAGGGTTTAATTACTGAATTTTCCTTGTTTATTAGGCCTGAGAAAGTTGAGTCGAAATCCACGTACACTGAATAGGGGCGACACAAAGACTTATCGATATATCGATAGTTGGTACATAATGTTTGCCGGTATGTTTGAAAAATACTAAAACTTTGTTCTTTTATATTGTTTTTATATATTTTTTTTTAAATAATTTAATTATTTTTTATTAAATTATCAAATTGTGATTTCTTTAAATTGGATTTTGTAGGACGAGTTCAAGCTGTTTGTCCATTTTCAAAGGTGTGGCAACAGTTCGAACCTGTGCTACCGGATAGTTTCAATAATTTAAACAGCTGAGCTTTGTTTATCCCCCACAAAAGCCCTTTTCTTATTGGCGTTTTTGAATTTGTCGTTTTCCGGCTCATTGTTCTGAGCTGGTTACCTAAGTAGGAGTTTAAAAAAAAAGGACAAAGAACAACTTTTAAATCCAGTTTCCAATCAAGTATTAAACACACAATCGTTAATCATGGTTGTTATTGCAAGTGATCTTTCTTTGTTGCTTTTGTTATGAATCAGCGCCTTTGTTTTTGCTACTCTTATAAAGCGCCTTTGCTTAGGTAGTCAAGTATCTAAGACCCATCCTACACCTAAATAAACATATATGTATATATAAATTCTTTTTTCTGGTAGGAAAGATCGACCCATACAATTAATCTTCTAGTCCCAAAAAATATTTGGATCTGAATAACAAGATCAGATTTACCTGAAGAACTATAGATACATTTGTACGTACATATATATTTATGTCTTTATTTAAGCTTTTTTATCCTCCTCTCTTTATTAAAAAGTTAAAAAAAAAGTGTGGTGGTAATTGGTATTTAAATAAAAAGCCAGTTTCATGGTTGTCTGAGCGAAAACTGTCTTTCATCTGTTTACGCATCTGAACTTGTTTTGTTGCCATTACATTTTAAAAGTGCGTGGACCCGTTTTTCTAGCGCGAATCGATCAAATTTCACTTTCCAAACGCCCAAGAGATTAAATTGATTTGTCACTTAAACCGCAGCACTCTCCAACACCTTGCCCAGCTGATAAGAAAGCAGCTTTGTATCAGCTTCCATTTCGATTTGCTTTAGAGTGGGCTGCTCCACGACTCATTACCGATAAGTTCAATGACCTGGTCCATCCTGTAACGGTCCATGTCTTGATCATTTGAACTTACTTATCTGCGCTTTCTGCACCATGACCTTCGATTTTATAATTTCTTTTTCTATAAATTAATTAATAGTTAAAAATTTTTTAGCATTTTCTGGTTTCTATTCAGGATCGAAAGGCATTTTAAAAACTTCCGTTTGAAATTGTCATTTGCAACCGCCAAAAATAAACAGCAATAAAGAACTTTACGAAACAGTCATCTCTTTCTCCCCATAACAACTTAACACACAGATGTTGCCCATCCACCGGGACAGAGCACAGTGGGTCAAGTATTCTAAATTAATATTTTCATAAAGTTACAAAGCAGACTATCCTTGTATTATTAAATTAACATACAACCAACAAGTTTTTTGCCAAGTAGACTATTTGGCTTAGTTTAAATAATGATCTACATAAATATTAAACTTAAATTATAGCTACAACTGCCATGGACCACTGTGCAAAGGCTTTATGGCTTTAGCTTTCCTTTTTTGCTTTCAGTTTCTTCCTTGCATTCGAGTACATTTCGTCGTCGCGATCGCACCGAAGAGGAAAAAGTGCTGGTCGCAGATTCCACGAACTATTGTAGCTTTATAAACATTTTAAAGTTGCTATTTAAATTTTATTTCTGTGCTAACTTTAATAATTGTGCGTACGCAAATTCATTGTCTTGTATCCGGCTATTGTGGTTCGTCCAAAGTACTCATATTTTCTGGTAAGTGAGATCGGTCAAAGGGAATCCGGTTTCAGGCGGTGCAATATTCCCTTATTTCTACTGCGCAGTTGCAAAAATAGCAACTCCGCGCCAACGCAATATGCTTTTTTTCCGGTTTTATTGTCCGCATCCATCGCACTTTGTTCCTATATGTATTTATTCTCTGTATGGATGTGCAAATGTTTTTTGTCTGGATTCTTAGCGCCCAGCAAAAAGTAGTTTATATATTATATGTATGTACATACGTACATTTATTCTTGATCAGGACCACAATTCAAGTCCCATGTGCCCCTGTTTAGTCTTTCAATTAAAGCTGTCGTTCTTTTCAATGCACAGAGTTTTTTTATACGATCTGTATGTAAGTATGAACATCATCCGAACAACTAAGGGCAATAAGATAGCATCTTAACAATACTATCTTAATTTTTATAAATACTTCCTTATAAGAATCTATTGAATTTAGGTGTCTAAAGTCTAAAATATCAAAATTTTAAGTCTAAAATATCGATATCCTTGTAACCCTGCTATCGAAAGCTTGCACAGATCGCTCAGGAAACTCCTTTCTGAACATCTTAAAAAGGATTTTAATACGAAATATGGATAATATTATATTATCTTTAATATAAACAACTTCTTAATTTATGAACTTTTCAATATTATAAACAGGAATATGCATAATATTATTTTTAAATATTTTTTTTAAGTATCATAGGGTTATTAAATCCTCTTAAATGGGTAATGCGTTCAGTGCTTAAAATTTTTCCTTCCTATTTATTATTACTAATATTTACTTTGATTTTCATATATTTTATTTTAAAGCACTTATATTGGATAGCAGTGAATTGGTATACATTCTAAAGCTTTATTATAATAAATCGCACCGTTTTAAAAATAAACTAAATAAAATGGTGAACAACACAGTTGATGCTGAATGTAAGTATATTTATTCCTTATTTAATTTATTAAAAATATCTCTTAACTTTAGGACATTACTAGATACTATTAAATAGTAATAGATATTATTACTATTTATCTTTTTTGAGTATTATCTTCAAGATCTTCAAGATTTCTTTCAATGTACACTTTTTTTGATGAAATTACAGCGTATACTTGTTCTATATCGCCAAGTACAAATAAAAGTAAGGCAAATACGGGGAAGTCCCCACTCAAGAAGGGTAGCAGACATGGCTCAGACACACACCCAGAGTCTGTGGGCTAGGAGGTGCAGTTAGCCCTCATTCGGGCTGGGTAGCATTGTTGCCGCATTTCACAGGCGAAACCGCCGCTCAAGTTCCGGTTCAATAAACTTTTGCAAAAATGCTTGCGTACATAGTTTGTTGCTCTTTTTTTTCGCCATACACTCTTCCCTATATTTACCCAGGCGGGAGGGTGTTATAATATTGTCCCGACGAATTATTCCCGACCTGGAAATGCCGCAGTTTAAATTTGATTGATAGGGGAGACTTAGTACGAAGTTGAAAACTCAGAAACATATGTCCAATTGAAAGTTGCTCTATTTCATAAAAAATATGAAAAAATTGGATGGATGCATGATATAAGAAGTCACCAACAGTATCCTGATGTTATGGCCTTTAAATAAAAATACTATATAATATTGTCTTAAATTTCTGAGGGTGTACGAAATTCGGCAACTTATATACATATTTACTTTTCAGCACTCGTTTTATATAGAATTGTATATAGTAATGACCATTTTTCCTTACTGCACCGAGCAGTTGTATGCATGTGGTGTAAGAATATGGCAGCAGACGTTTTGCAACTGGTTTTATGTAGGTCTCTCGCAAACTGTTTTATGCGACTTTTAAGGATCCAGGACCTTCTCCCCGAGGGGACGTGAAAAATTTTCACAGCTTTGCGACAGTTTCGTGGCGTTGTCGTCTTGTGTGAAGTTTCTGTTATAATTGCTTGGGAAAAACCAGTAACCAGTTTGTACTTTTCACTTTAAATCCAATTGTCCGTCCGTTGGATACAAAGCTTTAAGGTCCTTTTAAGCCATTAAAGTACTAGAGAGTCGAGGAAAGCCTTCTGTCCATAAGTATCGGGTTTATATAGAGCTTCTCCTACTTCTTTCATTAAATTAGCCTACTTGGAATGCCAGATGCGTAAAATAAAGTTGTTATATACCATAAAAACTGAGACCAGCCAAACCACAAACTTTTTTGTGTACCTTCTACTCAAGATAACTAACCAACTACGAGTGGAGAAATGGTTTTATCAGGAAACTTCCCCAGCTTCAACTTCAGTTGCTTTTATACACTTGCCATCTGCACGCATCTTGCCACAAATTTCCTGAAATAAGGCACTTTAGACAATTAATTATTTCTATACTTTGGTTTTTAGAGCTCGGTTTTTGTGCGGTTATTCGAGGGTTATTCGATGGGGGTGGCTAAATGACTGGATCTGGGTAAAGGTAGATTGCCACTGAATTGGAGACCTCACATCCATTGCACACACCTGTAAGTGTAAATAGAAGTCCAGCTATCACAAAATACAGAAAGGGAGGGTAAGGTGGTCTTAACACGCAGAGTAAAATCGAACTGCAACAGTTGTTTAATCCTGGGTGGCTTTGCTTCAAGTCGAAGTTTTTATACCCTTATTTAAGGACATAAAAATATTTAATAAAGGTTTTTTAATAAAATAGAATAAGGCAAGATTTTATATTCTTTGGAGAATATGCTTTATAATCAAAAGAAAGAATCCCCCACATGACGTATTAAAATAGTCATTCAATTCTCCCCTTTAAAGGTTGGCCCTTAAACCCCTAAGGCTGGCACACGTGACGCATTACGTGCAACGAGTCGCTTACCGTGCGTAGTACCCACACATCATTATTAATGCATTTGCACACGTGAACTGAAAACGTTCGGGGGAGGACGGAAAAGGACTGAAGGTGGGATAAGCGGTCCCCACATCAATTGAGTTTTTTCATCCACAAACATGAAAATCCCCCGGCGCTTTTCACCTAAGTAATTTTTATTTTTACCTTTTTATATCCTGTGTGGTACCTGTGGAGTTTAAGGACTCAATTGAATTCTGTTTTTTTTTCTTCTATATTCCTGAAGAAAAGTTAGATTTTATTTTAGCCTTTAGTTGTACGAATATATATTTTATTGTTAGGAAGTATGTATTCGCTAGGGTATTAAATATTCTGAATCATATAAACTTTCCATTTCCTGGCCCTTTACATGAAGGATTTTTGCAATTTCTCATAAAATGTCTGAGCTGCGTTTTAACAACGCAAATATATGTAAGTTCTACGCTTTAGACAGCATCAACAACATGTCCTTTATTGCGACGTGTCCAATCTTGATGTCGCAAAAGCTGCAGTTTCAGCAAGGTAAAGGACGTTGAAGATTGCCCATTTGATTTTATCTGTTGTTTTATGAGTGTATTAACACTGGACGATGTCAGTTAAAATAAACCACATTAAGGGATCACTTGCAGGTTACATAAAAGCAGTTATAAAATGTATTCCTTGCAACTAGCGCTGCAAAAACACTGCAGAATTGTCCTTCAAACGTGAGGTACAAAAAAAAAGTAAATAAAAAAAGGGGCGTGGTGTAGGACAAACATTTCTTTGTATATACAACGTTAATAATATCCTTCGTATGTGTAATAGTCACGTACTAAAGTGTACACTGGTGGCAGGACGAGAAGTCAGGGCCAAAGACACATTAAGGCATTTACTTGGAAGCCATCTATATGTAGATTATGATCGATATTTTCTATCCTGTCCTGCATTTTGAAGTGGTCGCCCTCTGGGAAACCCCCAGGAGCCATCAGGACCTATCCATATCGCAGACAATGAATGCATATAAACATAATGCCACGTCAACACTGCAGTTTAATGAACCTGTGTGTGGTGGTCGTACTCTTTGGGCAATAATGTTCTCGTGTCGAAGACACTTTGCATTGATTTTTATAGCCCAGGGGCAGGAGTTATTCAAAATGGTGCAAAATGAAGAGATAAAACTTAATCTTTGGATATTATACGGACTAGTATGGAATCGTAAAAGTTTTCTTGGAGGTATTTTCGCCTTCAAGGGTGAAAAAAAAGCAAACCGCAAGCTTGAAATTCAATATACTGGTAAAAATTATAAAAAGGATGCATTGTGGGGGGGACTTGTGTATTTGGGGTTGTAGGATATGAACTTGCAATGGGCCCCAAGCATGCAATCGAACTTTAACTGCCGCTCGCATGTTGTTCTTCGGAATAGCCTGTCAAAAACGGTTGCACTTGTTTCGGGGTTGTAGCTTGTAGTTTGCAAAAGCCGTTCGGCGTCGACGTCAGCGACAAATGTTTTTACCATCGTTTTAGTTCTGCCTTCTTGAATCAAAAGACCAACTCAGGGGTGACTACTATATAGATAAGGAGCTGGGGTTTCTGCCCGTGAGTCATGCTTTGGGGCGATGACGTTAGCCTTTTGATATCCGCGTAACAGAAATATTGGTTTTAGGCGTTGCTCTATAAAAGGAGTTATTAAATATTTTTTTTAAATATTTCTTTTTTTAATTTATTTATTAGGAAATTTTAAGAAAATTCTAAGTTACTAAATTATTGAATCATAAATCAAATCCTTAAATAATCCTTCATTTTAATACCATTATAACGCAGTAATAACAACCTAAACTCCCCACCGGATCACCTCTATGTTTAATAACAAATATCAAGGATGTTTCCTGTTTTTTTCCAAAAGCCGCATATTTGGAAGAGAAACCAAAATGACAAGGAACACCCATCAAGGACTCTCTTCCTCTCAAGTCACGATGTGATTCATCCAAGTGTGGTTCCCCAGTGTGGTTGGCTTGAGTTGGCGCCGTTCCGGCGCTTCATCGTGTCTCCCAATGTCCTTTTTGGCTTGAACGGCATGAGGAACCCAACGCCTCTCCAATTTTTCCTCCAGTCCCCAATACCTATTTCCAATGTTTTCGGCTTTTGGCTGCTTTTTGAGTCATCGCTATTTTATTTAGTTTACTTTAGCACCACTTTCTCTCTCTCTCTGTTGGCCATTTCTTGGCCATTTCCTCTCCTTATGTGTATTTTCGATATTCGAAAATGTGTTTTCGAATTTCTCTCGGAAGTGGTCTCTCCTCTATGTCATTGCCAGCCTTAAAATATTCGATAATACTGCAGCTTTTAACTGATTCGAGCTTGGCTTAAAGATAAGGCTTAAATAATTATGGAGGCTATATCCTATTGGAGTGTAATCATCGGACCTTCAAAAAATTTAGTCTTTAAACTATAGTATTATCTCTCAAGATTATTTTTCTTAAATTGTGACATTTTGTATCACCTAAAAATAAATTTTAATAACAATAAGTACACAAAGCTCAATATTTTGGGTTTCTATAATAATTTCCCTATTATTTCTTGGTTTTTAAAAGTAATATCTTTGTGTAAAATATCTAAAAAGTAAATATTTACTGCATTTATTAAGTAATGTCTCATCAAGCATTGATTTTGGGTTAAAGTTCTAGGTGAATATTATGAAATCAACCGGCTTTTCCGCTGCCACTTTGTTGGGGCCAGCTCTCTTCCGCCACTTCGCTCTGAGCCAGTGCATCCATTTTTTATCCACTGCGCAGGCCTCACAAATTCTGCTGACAGGGAAGGTAGAGAAATTAGAAAAAATAAAATATACAATTTAAAAATTTATTTTTATAAGGAAGAAAGGATAAATGGATTAATAAACAAATTATTTTAGTGGTAATAACTTCTTCTTAGTCCCTGCAGTCCTCCCTTAATGTCCTTTTTGCAAACCGCTCTCGCTCTCTCTCTTTTGACACTCTCTTTTAACTGTTGTTTGCTTTTGACTTGGGGTGCTGAGGCCGCTCCCGCTACCCACCGGAACTCCCCCCTTGCAAAGAGCTATGTCCTTTGGTGTGTGCATTGTCCTTGCCTTCGCCATGGAACCAGGCACGGCGCCGACGCCGACGCCGGCAGTGACGTTGGCGCCAGTACTGGATGTGAGGTCGTCCAGTCGTTCGCCTGCTATTGAAAAATTAACATCGACATAACTTAGTTTGTGTTTGTCGTTCGCTCTGCTCGCTACATTTTGACGCTGTCGTCGTGTGCCTTTTTTCCAAAAAAAGGGACTCATTTGGGAGGCTAAAAAAAAACCCGACCAATAACAAAAACAAAAACAAGATACGATAATTTTTGCGACGCGTAATATCCCATCTATATTTTAAGAAACACTTCTCTCCGGCTGCGTTAGCTGGTTTTTTCTACCAATTTTCGTAGAGCACCATTAAATCAATACCAGCCGCCAGCAGCAAGTGGTTGTCATAAAGAGAAATTACAAATTTCCAATCAGACAACCCAAAAAGTGAAAATCCTAAAAAAAATTACTGTGTAATTGTACCTAAATAAAGAAAAATTAAAAAAAATATCAACCCGACATCATCGACTTAATATAGTAGGAGAGACACCAAACTCAAAATGCTGATTGGATTAGTACGCGATTCGGTGATGCAGTGCTTCTGCCATACGTGCAGGGCACCCGGAATTTTGCCAGCGGGTAAGCATTATCCGGACAACTTGTCTACCAAGTTTTGCATTCAAATGGTGCTTCGTATTGTATCTTTTTCGTTGCATACTTTTTTGTGTTTTTTTTTTTATTGAAACTTGCATTTATGTAGTTTTTGGCTATCCATTTATTTGTATTCTGAAAATCATCATCATCGTCCTGCACGAAATTGAATTCGTATGTATACAAATTGTGTTTGGCAGCAAAAGCTTGTTTCTATCATAGAAATTGTGTACGTTGCAGCTGTAGGCGGTAAGAGCGGGTGTGGGGTGGGCAGGGGGTGGGCTTCGGGATGAGCAAACATTTGCAACAATTTTCGGCCAACACAACATATGTGGGCTTATGTAGATGTTATGGCCACTACAATCTGCTCTTATGGTCTCTGAGATTCAAAGGCGGATGTTGTTGATGGTCAATAAACGTTGAGGGATAGTGGCAGTGGCAGTGTCAGAGTTAAGTACTGATAGAGACCCTCCTTTGAAGACCTCTTTACTTTTATGAATATTTATTTTAAAACTTCCTAATCTAAATGACTCATTCATCTCACAAATATCTTACAAATCCGGAAGAAAATTAATATATAATACAATGGAGCGCTGAAATGTAGGCAATAATAATTTTTGTGGAGCTTCTCCGTGACCGTTATTTCATTATTTTCTTGCGTTTTCCCAGGCTATGTGTGTGGAAGTTCGCATGGGGCGCCACTCAGCCGACAACCGATGAGTCACCCGGCGCAGGCGGAGACTAGGACTCATATTGTACTGCTGTACACACACTAACAATAGTTTTTTTTCTACTTTAGTGTTATTAAATGGTCATCAATATTAAAATCTTATTTAAGGACTAATTATATAATATATTGCCATATTAAAACACTGTCGTCGTTGCAAAAAAAATCAAAAACCGGCGTATATCAGGCGTGTATGAATTGCGCAATGTGCACACGGAACCTATACAAGCGGAATGACGACAAAGGACGGTCTTTATTGATTTATTGACAGAGCCGGCTATTACATAAAAAAAAACACTGTCAGCTAAAGGGGGAATATAAAATCAGTCTCGAGTAGAAAGTTGAAACTGGGATTATTTTTTTTACCTTTTTCTTCACAAGTTTTATTTTAGCCACGCTCGAGACCTAAAATTTTGCATATTAAACTGAATTTTTAACAAGAGTAGCTACTCTAAGGGTTCTTCTTGAGACTTGTTCTTTTTCTTTCTGGTTGCTTTTGCAACCGTGTCCTATCCTCGCGATTCCCTACCCTCGACTCGAAACGCTCAACTATGTGGGGCACTCTGTCACGTAGCAGTCAAATTTTTTCTTATTATCCTGGCAATAGACTTCTCCATGGGCTCCATGTGTTGTTCTTTCCTATCCTATCGTTTTGCATGTTGCTCACGTTACAGACAAATACATAATATTACTTAATTTTCTTTTTCCTTTTTTTTGTCTTCTAGTTGAGTTGTTTGGCGAATGTCTTGGCCAATAAATTAATGAAGTTGTAGAGTTCGTAGGACAGTAGAGCCTAAAAAATGGGGGCTATTAGAGGTGGTAGTAAAGGCTATTAGAAGTTCTAGGATATAAGGAAGTGGAGGTAGAGAAGATCATCTTGTAGCCTCTAAAAACTATACATATATTTAGAAAACCCTACTTCTACCTCATGTTATGACATCCTTCATGAAAAACAAATGTCGGGGGAACTGACGGATATAACGTATGCATGACTATGCTCAGGTCGGATCCTTAATGAAGGGGTTGCCCTACGTATACCCCACACTCCCCCCTGGTATATCCTTTCTATGCGCTCGGAATAAATCCCTCGACACCATCATACGAATGGATTTTGCGACTGGTGGGCCTTTTACGTGCTTCCATTTCGCTGTCTGCTCAACTAATGCAATTTCCTTCAGCTCCAGTGCCCCCTCTTTTGACTATTTCTGCAGAAATTCCTTTTCATGTCGCTTGGTCCTTGGCTGGGAGTTTCCATGTTCCATTTTGCTTTGCATTTTCTCTTCCTTTGTTTAGACCAAATTGTATTTGCACTATTTTCTTTTTGTTTTTTTGAGAACGAAACTCTGGCTTGCAGGTAATAGTTCAGATGTCTACCTATTGTCTGAGATCCTAGTGGGGGTTTTTATTAAATTAATCATACATGCATCTTACTTTTGATATATGTGTGCACGTATCCTTTTTACTGCATCCTGCATATACATATCACATGTATTATCAGGTGTCCTTACTCATTTGCACGTGGTATGCGTTTATATTCCATTTTTGTTCTTTTTAATGTCAACTAGGGCTTAATATTTTGGATACAATGCTTTAGGACAAGCTTGAAACTATCCAGGACTCTAGATACAAATTAGTTTAATAGCAACCTTTAAAAAAGGGGATTTATGTAGCTTTCTATTAAAGTTAAAAATAGCAGCGCCCTTTTGAAAGGTTACTGCATCGCTGTTCTTTGTCATTGACCCGGTATATTATGATAGAAAGTTTTTTTTTATATATTTTTTCAATGGTTTTTGTAAGGATAATAAAATGAACAAAAAGTGTTGGATATGGTTGGACACCTGCCATCAAAACATTGTCACGAGATTACAGGGATGTGGTCCAATGAATTTTGATTGAAAATTGAATTTATATTAATTGGTTGCTTTCTGCCTCTCAGCGGGTCTTTAATCCTGATTTAACAGATTACAATAAATGCTTTAAAGGATTTTAGATATTATAGATTCTGACATTTTAGCTAAAATCAATCTTTATTATACCGACTACATTCTAAATGGACTTTTGAGGGCCAAACGTTTCTAGCTAAGTCGGTAACTATTAATCGTTAGAACTTATCCTGCAGTGTCTAAGATGAAATAGGGGAAAGTAACATTTATATCCATTAAAGATACTAATGATGGCATCTAAGCGAACTTGTATCATAAGACGAATGAGTATTTGAATCAAGCCAACAACATCTAATGATACAAAAGAAAACTCAAAGTGCAGTTTAGATACTAAAAGGAAGGAACTAGACGGTTAACTTTTGGTGGAACTAGAATTCGAATCGCTTCTTGAAGCAATACGATTTTATGACTTTGTGTATGGGATATACATACGAATTAGACAAATATTTTGCCATCCAAATATGTTTGTGGAAAAGAATCTGTAGAGTATTGCAAATGTATGAGAAAAATTTACAAACCAAAATGCTTGCAATTGTTTAATTTGGCTTTTTTAAAAATATTACTTTGCTTTTCATTTTTTGTTTCCCAATGCAAAATCATCAAAGTTCACAAAATTTAACACAAACATCAATCTTTATTAATTGAATTTAAATATTTTCTATACATGCATTCCAAACGGACTTCTAACTATAAAAATATAGTTTCGAGAAGATCTGCGCCAATTAAGAAAAACAATAAAATACGTTCTAAGCAACCGCGACTTAGCAAGAAAGTCAAATTCATAAGTAAGTATGAAAAATAATACCTTAAAAAAACCCAAGACGAGCTATCAAAATATTAAAGCGTTTTCGCACAACTTGGTGGAAGAAATCTTGATTGTAGACTCCGGCAGTGAAAAGCTTTACACTCCACGACGCAACAGACCGTATTATCAAGACAGGGGAGAAAAAAAACTGCCAATATAGAAGTCTCGACCAGGTAGACTCGAGAAAACCAATACGACGATGACTCACTCGTATTACCTCCCCCCAGTACACCTTCGAGGTATTTTCCACAGTGGCTCCTTTTACGTGCTTTTGTACGCTTTCGTTGGCCCGGCTTGTTAAGGTAATAAAATGCCAAAGCCGTCTGAGCGGCGCCACGGAAAATGAAGTAGACATAGCCGAAAACCTCCTGACCCCTGAACCCGGGTGGCTTCATCCATATGTGATGTCCTCACTAAAACCGCAAAAAAGGAACGTTTGCCATTCTATAGGGATGGGTATTAAAAAAATCAACATATGTATATCATGTTATTGGTATACAATTTTTTTTTACATTTATTAAAAACTTAACTTAAAGGGCATCTAACTCTTAAAGCCATTAGATATAATGCCAGCCAATTTTCTTTCGTTGCCAAGAAATTGGTCAAAGAATTATCCCTATAATTAGTGGCTGTCGTTTAGTTCATTATAAGAATTCGTCACGGTAAACGTTTTTTTCTTTTTCCTTTTTTTTTGAGGTATAGGATTTGTGGCAAAAGAATGGGATTGTCGCCGTGCGGCGCCACATTGACGAAGGGCTTCAATATCTCGCTTGATAGTTTCAGTTCTAATTACTGCCGGCTATTCACCACGCCCTGAGCCAACTACCTACCCACTGTCACCTTCATGTTGGCGGCTAATAAACCAAACTGCCTTTGGCCATAAAACAATCTTGGTACAATAGTGGACAGAAACACAACCTGGACTTGGGGTTGGCAGTGGCCAGGAGGGGGAGCTTTAACCAATGCTACGGGGGTGAACAGAGCTGGCTTAACAACCAACAATCAAAAATGTCACAACAAAGCCAGTGACAAAGACCTTAAACTTAAAATAAGTTAAAGGTTATATTAAATTCTCAATTAATTGGAATTTTTAGTTTATAAAGCTGATACTTTCTTAATAATTTTAAATTTAAAGAAAGGGTATTCACTTTAGTGCCTTTATTTTGTTCCTACTAAGCTTTTATATGAGGTTGATGTTTTTTTTTCGTTCAAAACCCTAGAGGCCCGACATATGCCTGCTCCACCATGTCAAGTACAAAAGCTAGTGCGCAAACAAACAGCTCGTTATACAAAAAGATATTTAAGAACGATTTTGCTGCGTTGCCTAGCGTTGCTGTTTATTTTTGTTTGCTCGTGTATTGGGAGTAAACGGAGGAAAATGTAGCCTAATGGTGAAAAATCAATAAACAATTTTGTATTTTATACATGGAGAGAAACTAAAGAACGACTTTCTTTGTATTTCACAGACAACTAAAGATATTGGGGGAAAGGATATAAAATTTAAATAAATTATTGTCAACAAGAGAATATTGACAAAACATATTCCCAGTAGGGTTGTCTTTTTCAAAATTGTAAAACGAATCGATCGAAAAGTTTTTTTATAAGATTTTGACACAGATTTATGGGAAATGGATATACAAATCGTTTAAGGTATTCCGCACGAAAATCGGATGATTATTGGGAAAGATATAGCCATCGCTATGGACCATATTGTGGCCCCATGCATTTTTGTAGATTTTTAAAGGGGACCCTCCAGAAAATTTGACAAAAAATCTAAAAAATAATTTGTTCCCAGATTTTGATGCAGATTGAAAGATAATCGCTGTACAAATCGTTTAAGGTACTCCGCTCATGAATCGGATGATTATTGGGAAAGATATAGCCATCGCTTTGGGCCATATTGTGGCCCCATGCATTTTTGTAGATTTTTGAAGGGGACCCTCCAGAAAATTTGACAAAAAATCTAAAAAATAATTTGTTCCCAGATTTTGATGCAGATTGAAAGATAATCGCTGTACAAATCGTTTAAGGTATTCCGCTCAAGAATCGGATGATTATTAGGAAAGATATAGCCGTCTCTGGGTGCCATATTCTGCCTCCATGCGTTCTTGAATAATTTGGATGGGGATCCTCCAGAAAAAATACATATTTCTGAAGTGGTCATATTTTCCAACCCCCAATTAAGTAGAAAGGCTCCCGCAAAAAATAAATCTGCCTTGTCTGCATGTAGCCATTTCCATAAAATTTTTTTATGTTTCAAAATGTTTTCTGCCAAATTAGCAGAATTTTTCACGAAAACCGGCCTAGCAAAAATTAAGTTTTCTTCTTCTCCAAAGGGGCGGTGAATAGTAATGCCTTCAATTCTTCCAGTATTTACTCTTGTTCTAACCGAGTGTAATTCCGTTTCGGCTTGTAGCTCCTTGAGGACGTACTCTTAAGTGCCTCGCTTAGACGGCTTTTATGTCGTTTCCTTCATTAAGCGACGAGATGAAAAAACTTGTGAGTGTGGCTACGACTGTTAACAACACCACCCACTTTTTGTGCATCGCATTTAAATTGAAAGGAGGCGGTGGCCCAGACGAAGAAGAATATCTTGATGAACTTGTATGCCCCGTATAAATGCGGGGTTTCTCTCTAATCTTAAGCCAAATGCGGGCCACTGTGTTTGCTGTGCTTGCTACTTTGGTGCAGAAAGTAATAATACTCGTATGTTTTTGCACTTTTCAATGTGTGTTTCTAGTCTTCAAGTTGCGCCTTCGAAGTGAATTGGGGATTTCCTGCTCATTGTTTGCCGTTGCCCTCTTGTTTATTCTGCATTGTATTGTGTGTTTTATGGTGGTGGCATTTCTTGCATAGCAAATTAGCCAGCCACTTGACAATACCTTTTCTTTATAACCTCCCAGGGGGTTTTCTGATTGTTTTTAATGGGTGCTTCTAATAGGGTCGATTAAAATGGGGTTGACATAGACAGTTTTTAAAGGTGGTAGCTTAAGTGCTGAAGAGGGACCTTTACCAGGACAGCTTATTGAAATATAAGTTTTATTATAAAAACAAGAATAACAAGACTAGCAAGATAAGATTTCCATGAAAGTTTTAGGCTTATTATTGCAATTTTATCCAGTGCTGATTCATCAAAAATGTTCCCCATACTTTTCTTGGCCAATGCCTGCAATTAGCCTGTAAAAAAAAAGGCCAGGCCAAAAAGTTTCGATTGGATGGGAGGGATAACTACTAGCCAGACGTCTGTCGCCTGCAAGGAAAATAAAAACAGCGATTACTCCTCTTGCAGCAGCACATGCCAAAAAGTATGCTACCCGAAAATGTTTTTAGAATCCACTCAACGACATGGAATGGAATGCCGCTGCCAGTGCATGTATGGGTTTTTGTGTGTCCTTTTGAATGTGAATGTAGCCAAGTTTTTTTTTTCCAATTGGTCTCTGCAATTCAGTTTTGGTCGGACAGTCCATCGTTCAGTTGTTTAGCGAATTCCTGAGCGTCAACAGCTTCGCCCAAAGGATCCAAAAAATAGATTTGAGAAAAAGTAGTTTCCTCTTTCAGTTAGTTCGACATTGTCCTGGCAGTGTTTGTGAACCAAAATGGTGGCCCTCGATTTGAATTTAAATGTGAACAGTAAGTAAAAATTTTAATTTATTAAAAAAAAAGTATCTGAAACGTCGGCTAACTTGTTGGAAAAGTTTTCGTGAAACATTCTCTCAGCTTTTTGCAAAAAAAAGGAGGAGGCGAGAAATTGCTGCATCTACCACACTCATAGCAGCTTCATTGCTGAGTCATGGAAATAAACTAATTAAGGAAAAATTAAAATGCTTTTATGCATATTAAGCAAGAGGAAAAGGCTTCTGGTTTAAGGGTGTAATGGTCCTTTGACTCGTACATTTTTAAGTGTGATAATAATGGAAATGCATCCAAAAGTTACTCGGCAAAGTGGCCCGAGAAAAAGTGTTAAAATGCAATAATGAATAAAAGATTCTTTTGAGTAAAATTTACAGGAAAAGTTTCCACAAATGTTTTTGCAGAAATATTTTATGAAATGAATAATGACACATTAACAAATGAGTTTTTCCTTAAAAGCCACAATTACACTTAAAGGGGTTCATATCCTTAATGAAAAACTCGCACAGAATCTGTAAAAACATAACCAAGGTTGGCAATATAATTTAATTCGTTAACCTCCTTCAAAAAATGCGCAAATGTTTTTAATGAGGTCAACTTTTATGCTAATGAGAGTTTTTAGTTTGGCCGTGCCGGGGTGTAGTGTTAACAAGCCCAAATGCTTAGCCATGCCGAAGCCTCATGTTCCTCCGGGCGGCGAAAGCCAAACTTAATTTTAATAGTGAAATGAAATTATGAAGCGGATGAAGCGAAATTTTCCATAAACCTGAAATTTCTGAATAGAAACACGTTTAAAAGGAATAAATAAATGAATATGAGCATCAGAGTCTTGATGAAAGCACATTTCTTTCATAGAAATGACCCAGAATATTTCAAAAATATTAAATGAGACATGGTTAGGTGAAAGATTTAGGATATCTCTTAGTCTGACCCAAAAAATTTCGAAGAAAAAATGCCATGTGGCTATTATTTTGTGAGAAAACAATCGTTATCGAAGCATTTTATGCTTTTTTCTCATCTTTAAGAAACTTTACTCCCAAAAAAAGTGTGACCAAACTCACATAAAATTTTAAGAAACCCTTGAACACTGGCGATATTTTGTGTCGAATTCTTAGAAGGCTTTTCCTCGTGGCAGTTAGAAATGAGCAGGCCTTTTGATATATTTTATTATTGTAAGTGACATTTGGAAGTTAACCAAGTACATTCTATAGTATTCTATAGAAAAGAGCCTATTGGTAGCGTAGGCACAGGTATCAAGGGATTTTCTAGTTCAGTCTTCAAAATTTGATCATTTCGGAGCAGAATCGCAGAAAAACGTGGTGGCAGCTTGTAAGTAAGTTCTGAGAATCAAGTTTACACCGAGGTTTGTCGGCTTATACTCGTTTTTTTTCCTTTTAATTTTTATGGCACCATTGAAGCTCGAATAAAGGGATCGGCTTTCATAAACAAAAATTGTGTAAAGCTCAATTGCCGTATTTCTGAGGTGCACCTTCCGCGATAGCAGTTGCCGTATCAGTCAGTATCCCTTTGGCACTACGAAGATAAGCAGAGCGGGTGTCGCACACTAGAAGCACTCTAGAAGTCCAGAATTGCAATGGCCAGCTCCTTGCCAGAACCCCCAGAGCGCCACTTTGGGTACGAGTGTCGCAGATGCCGAGTCTCGGATTTTGGCGGCCGCCGCTACTCTTGCTGGATCTGTCCCAATTTCGATGTGTGCGGTGAATGCTATGACGCTGGCCAGATACCCCTGACGCGCCACCATCTATACTACCATCCCCTGGAGGCGCACTTTGATCGCCGCGAGTTCCGTGTCTACTTCGAGGGCGAGGCCTACGGCTCCGATATGCAGGCACTCCAGAGCTACAAGTGCGCTCTTTGCGATATGCGCGGCATGAGCGGCGCTGATCTCTACCGGCACTTGCTGCAGTCGCATCGGGATCATCAGGATTACTCCTCGTACATCGCCATGGTGTACTCGCATTACCTAAAACATAACTCATTGGGTCCTTGCAACGCTGCAGAAACTCCTTCCCGGTCGACCACTTCCCAGATGTTAAGGAGGGGCACCGGTTCCTACCGCCCTCCGACCGGGTCGGGGGTACGCAAGTCAACTATTCGCACTCCCACCGCGGGGTCAGTTGATATCGTTAATTTACTGAGGAGCATACCGGAAATGCTGGATCCTCATAACGACGATCTTCCATACAAGTGTATGGAAGTAGTGAATACAATAGGCACCCTACGTGCTCAGCAGAACGCCTGCACCCGGGCGGAGGAGGCCGCCGCCATTGGATCGTATGTCCGTGTCCTCGAGCAGGAGATACTCAGTCGGATGTCCGAATGGCGGCAGTTGCGTGAGGGTCGTTCCTCATCGGGCGGTCAACTGATGCGCCGTCGCAGTGGCCTGATTCCAGGATCAAGTGCTTCTTCGGCCGTCTCCATGGCGGCCGCAGTTCGCGGACGTCCTTCCTCGGCAACACCGTCGCCCTTGAGTACATCGGAGCATGCCCGTCGCTACATGGATGTCTGGCCAGCAGCTACTCGACCCTTTCGTTTGCCGCCGTCAGCTGTGGCCGCAAATCAGGAATTTCGGGAAGCGCTTGCCCAAAGCGCCAAGTCCAAGAGCGGCGAGACTTCAAAGGAAGTGGTGGTAGCTAAAAAAATCTCGCCTCCGGTCAAGAAGGTGGTTGATCCGCGCTTCCTGTGCCCAAAATTATTAGCTAATGACAAGAAGGCCGGCTCTTCTGATTCGAAAACTAAACAGCTTAAGGCCAACTTTATTCAGGCCATTTTATGCTCAATGTTGGCCGATGATGATCTAGTTTCGATGCCATCTGGACTTCCACATCCCATAAATGACCCTTATTTTGTTGAGGCTAGTGCGGGCTTTGGAGGAAATCGCCTGGAAAACGCATGGGTCGCATGGAATGAACCTGTTTTTTACTATGATTGTGTCGATCAAAACTTGATGCCTGCCACGGCTTCCGATGGTGTCGAAAATCCAATGTTGCCAGTGATTGTCGAGGATGCCGTCGAGCATGATGACGAATAAGATTCAAATTAAATCTCACAAGCAAACCAAATAAATGTTAAATAATAATGAAGTATTTCTCATAATCTAAATAGCTATTAAATAAATGTTTATTCTTCAATTAAAAAAAACATACATATGTACTTCTATAACTTGTTCAAGTTTGTTGTTTGTGATCGTATCAAGTCATATTAGGACCAAATAAATGTCTAATATGAAGCATTTCTCATAATCTAAATAGCTATTAAATAAATGTTTAGTCTTCTATTGAAAAAACATTCATATGTACTTCTATTTCTTCAAGTTTCTTTGAAATATTTCGAAAAAATAGATGGCGGTGTTTAGAATTACAACTCTTTTGATTACCTTATTGGGTTTATTTATTTTTCCGATTTTATGTGATCGTATAAAGACATTGGATTGGATCATTTGTTCGATTTTTTGTGATCGTATCAAGACATATTAGAACCAAATAAATGTCTAATATGAAGCATTTCTTATAATCTAAATAGCTATTAAATAAATGTTTAGTCTTCCTTTGGAAAAACATACATATGATACATATGAACTTCTATTATTTGTTCAAGTTTCTTTGAAATATTTCGAGAAACAGTTGGCGTTGTGTACAATTACAACTCTTTTGATTACCTTATCGGATTTAATTATTTTCTCGATTGTTTGTGATCGTATCAAGTTGGCTGTGGTATCAAGTAGGCTTTGCTTTGGCAGTTTTATTCAATTCCTGTATAACTACCTTCATTATCGAAGCATCTTCGAGTGGAGCAGTGTCTAAAAAAAAAAGGAGAACAAAATTTTATACAATTTTATATCGCATTCGTGAATTAAGTTTATTATTTATTTGAGTTTATTTATCGGTTCTGGATTTGTATACCTTGGCAAGTTTTTTTTTCTTGTAATGGCTTCTAATTTTCCGACCGTACACCGCAAGTGTCTGGGCTGTGCTGCCCAGGGAAATCTCGGCCGGCGCTACGAGTGCAGCGTGTGCGGGTCAGAGGTTGTCTACTGCGGCAATTGCTTCGATGCTGGGCGCAACCGTCCCACTCACAAGCACAAATACTATCACCCCATGAAGGCTATTTACAATCGTGCCTTCTTCGAGCTGTTCTTCATGGGCGAGAACTTGGTTAACGGGGAGGCCCCACAGAGTTACAAGTGTCCCTTCTGCGACGAAATGGGCTTCACCTCCGAGGAGCTGCAGGTGCACGTGGAGGAGAAGCATGCCGGGCATGCCGATGCAGCTGACTTGCTGGCCATTTTGGAGGGAATGAACCAGCCGGCTGATGGTTCGGTGACTGCCTCATCCGTGGCTACCGTGGGGGAGCGAAAATGTGAGTTCAGTTGTAGGGCTCTTCGATTAAAAAGACGGCGAAATCTGTAAAGATTCAACAATATTAAATGGTAGATAGTTGATACAAAATATGTATGTACTTGCCTATCTTTGTGGTAAGCTGTAGGAATGAATATCCATATCAGGGTGATTTGAAAAGTTCTTAAACCCCAACATAAACTTCATACATGAGTGGTTGGCAATTGCAAAAATGACGTCATGCATTTTGGCAAAGAAAAAGCCACCCTCAAGCTTCGAGCCGAGGCCCAAGGCTCGGCCTATGACACCCCCAATGCACCAATATTAAATTACTCTCCTGCTTTTTTGCCTTTCACAGCCACTGAGATTCGCTGCCAGGAGAAGTCGCGCGGTGGTCTGAGCTATGAGGTCATCCTGGCCGAGCCGGCACCCAATGTGGCCGTCCCCAAGCGACCGGTCACCCCCGGCAAGAACGTCAGCGTCGAGGAGATTGAACAGAAGTTGAAGGCTGCCGAGGAACGCCGTATTGTGAGTAGCCCTTATAGTTGTATAGCCCTTCTTATGCAATAATTCTTATTTTTTTTTTATAATTATCCACAGTCTCTGGAGGCCAAGAAGATGGCTGATATATCAAACAAGCTGGCCAAGGTTGAGGAGGCCACTCGCAAAAAGGATGAGATTACCAATGAATTCATTACTCAGACCAAGGAGCAACTCGAATCAAAGATGGAGTTGCATGTGGAGAAGCGTGAGGCCATTATCAGTGATTTGAAGGAGAAGCTAAAGGTGTGATATTTATAATACTTGTATTATCCTTTAATTTAAGTTTTATGCCTTTCCCCAGATCCATTCTCAGGAAATCGAGAAGACGCGCGAGACTTTGGAGCAGCAGAAGGCTAATGAGCAGAAGGCCATCGAGGAGAAGCTCAAGATAGCCCAGTCCTTGCGCGATGAGAATATCAAGAAGATGCTGGATCGTCTAAAGGAGCATGTGAGTGGTTAAGAGCAGCATGTATTGGAAATTTAAACTTAATTTAAATTCAGATATATGAACAAAGGGTTGTTATGTATATATAAAGTTAATTTATAAAATGTATAGATATTTTGGTAGCTTATAAAAAGTATAGTTTTTGCATGAAATGGATACATTTTATTGTAAATACATTTAAAATCATCTCTATGATTTATTACATTTTTCATCCAACATGTTCATATATTCTGTGTGTGTAAATATTTACGTTTCGTGTCATGTGTACATATAATTTTGATTTTTCATTTCTCTTATTTCCTCTCATTTAGAACACAATCAAAATTGCCGAAATCAAATCGCAGAACGATCAATTGGAATGTCAAAAGCTTGAGGAAAAGGCTCGCATTTATGAGAACAAATTGTTTGCCGCCGAGCAGAAGCGTGAAAAGGAATTGCAAAAGAAAATTGAAAAAGTTCAAATGCTTGTACGTTCCTCTCTAAAATTAAAAACACACTCGAATACCCATTTGCCTTATCTTTTCGAGTAGAACTTGGCACTTGCGGTTTCATTAATTGCATCTTAAATATAACTTTTTTATTTCTCAATTAATTAAATTCTTTTTCTTATACAATTTCCAGGAACGTCGAGCTGAGTTGGTGCGCCAAAACAAGGCCCAGTCGCAGGATATCGATGGCCAGCCCAATGCAATTGCCTCATCTGGTTAGATGGGACCTTGTGGAGAATCCAGAGAGCTGTGCAGAGCGTTATTACTTTCGGAAAATAATTAAACAAGAACAACTACAGCAACAACACTGCAAACACCAACACATTTCAGCAAGAAACCCAATTTGCTTCAAAAATTTCAAGTATTATAGAATTTCCCTATGCGAGCTAAGGCGCCTAACAAGAAAACATTTATTCATAAACTGCAAAAAAAACGAAAAAAAATCTCTAACAAAGAGGATTAAGTGCATACTGCAAAATAATGCAAAATACATTAGTAATGGAAATCTACAATACAGCTCAAGCATTAACAGAAATTTGTGAGCTAATCATTCATTAATTTGATTTTTGATTTCATTTTAAATCTATAATTTTTCTTAAATTTGAAAACCATTTGATTATGTCTCTAAGATTATATTCAATTTCGTTTTTGAACTTTTTCGATATTATATATTAAATTAAAAAAAAAAAAAAACTTGCTACGAATGTATTTTGAAATTTTTTTGCAAATAAAAGTTGAATTGCCATAATAAATGCGTTTGCCTCAATTGCTTTTGCGAAACCTTTAACAATTAACAAAATGTACCACTTAATGAATATGTGAAAATATGTATAATTTAACATTCATATTAATTTAATAACATGCAAAAAATATGGATAAACTACTTATGTTTAAGTTCTCATTTTTTATCTACGAAATAAATGTCAAACAGAACAAAAATATATGTTTCAAATGCTTAAAAAAAAACTAAAATAAAAAAATCAAACGCAAGCTAAATCACACTTAAATAATTATTGTTTTAATTATGAACAATAAACACACACATTAGGCATAAATAATGGAAATGGAAGCTCGAACAGAAAACAAGTATATTATGTATACACAAAACATTTATGTAAAATGCATATTTTGTCTAACGTGGAGTTATATTTAGAGAAAAGGGCATATTTTGGCCGTCAAATGGGTTTAAACAAAATTTACAGGGGGTTATAATAAAGTGGAGTAGATGATGCGAAACAAATGGAATATTTAGAAAAAACAAAACAAATTTTTCACAACCTGCGCTAATTTTTTTCCCCGAAAAAATTCATTTCGCCCGAAAGAGCGCTGAAGAGAGTAGCCTAAATTTAAATCATATACCGTTATAAATGTGTATTCGTGAAATATAAAACAATGCCTATACTTATAAATATCCTCAATGCAATGCTCTTAATAAGAACTGCAATCGATACAGTGCACGACGTATAGAACACGAATAACTTTCAAACATATTCAAGACGAAAAAGTGTGAACTTGAGAGAAAGAGAAAACCAAAAACCATTGCAAGAGCATCAATACAATTGATAATGCTTCGATATTTACTCAATTTATATTATTGTATAATCAACGCCAATAATCAACAACTCTAATAAACATTTTTGTACGAGAAAAGTGCGAGGAATCGATCCAAACGGTTACATATTCAAATCAATGTTCTCTACACAAATTCCAGAAATACGACCGCTTACAAAACGTCTAGTTTCGCGCATAATTTAAATTAAGTTTACTTAAGCAACAAATTACTGACGATAAGCATACTTATAATATATGTATAATAAAATGGCATAATAATGGCATATAATAAATGAACAAAATTTCAAGATGGTGTTGTGCTTTTTAAAAAATATGGTTCTTTTAAATCATTTTATTAGCGGGATTATTGAGTTTTCTATAGTTTTGTTTTTCAATTTGTGAATAATATTGATCATTTTTAAAAACAACTTTCTTTTTGGTTCTTAATAAGTAGTTTTAATACTAAAAGGTTTATTTTATCCCAATTAAAAATTAACTTCCGTGAAAATTATCCTTTAAAGTTTAATTTGTGGACTTTTGAAAAGAAAAGTTTCCAGAATCCCAATTTTTAATTAAAATGTTTGTATTTATTAAGCATAATTTAATAATACAAATAAAATGTTTGTATTATTAAGCATAAGCAAATAATAATTAAAACAATTCGAGCTTTATATTTATCGATATCTTGAAAGAAACTTATCGAAAATACCAAATCAACGATAGCAACACCAGAAGTGCTGCCATTTTAGCCATTTATTAGCTAGATCAAGCCAGAAAGTGAAACTAGGGTCACACTACTGCTGGCTGATAAATCTGTGAATCATAATAAATTAAGAGTAAAGTTTAATAACAGACACCGACACTATGGCCGCCACCCTGAAGCCCTACCTGACCGCCGTGCGCCACTCGTTGACGGCGGCCATGTGCCTGCAGGACTTTCCCTCGCAGGTCGTCGAGCGCCACAACAAGCCGGAGGTGGAAATCTGTTCCAGCAAAGAACTGGTGCTCACGCCCGTTGTGGTGTCTCGAAATGAACGGGAGAAGGTTCTGATTGAGCCCTCCATTAACTCTGTGCGTGTGAGCATCGCCGTGAAGCAGGCCGATGAGATCGAGCGCATCCTGTGCCACAAGTTCACCCGATTCATGATGCGACGCGCCGAATCCTTCATCATTCTGCGGCGGAAGCCCATTGAGGGCTACGACATTAGCTTCCTAATCACCAACTTCCACACTGAGCAGATGTACAAGCATAAGCTGGTGGACTTTGTTATTAGCTTCATGGAGGAGATCGACAAGGAGATCAGCGAAATGAAGCTGGCGGTCAATGCCAGGGCTCGCACCTGCGCCGAGGAGTTCCTCAAGCGCTTTTAGGTGAGTGAATGCAGTACCTATCAATGGGCTTAAAACCATTTTCAAATCTCTTTCAGATGCACTTAAGGTCGCCCCAGCTTGGGGGCATGTCGCGATGTACTAGTATTTCCAAATCATTTAAAAAATAAAGACGGCTTTTGTATTATTTAATTGGACTCTTACACTTCTTCTTACCCTACTCACTGCGCCCGCTCCACCACATGCACACACTATTCTCGTACACAACGTCTTGCTTATCTCCTTCCGGAAGTTCAGTTTCCGGATCTGCATCTATTGTTGAGCCGTTCAGGATACTGCTATTTGTGTGGGCCGCATTTTTAACAAAATGAAACTGCCCCGAAGATGTAGCTACAATTGGAAAAACAGGATTCAGGCTGACGCCGTTGCAGCAGTCAGAGTGCAAAGGAATTGCGGCAGGATCCCTGTCACCAGCCAGATCCCACACATTGAGAAGGCCATGGGTGTCTCCGCTGGCCAGCCACTTGTTGTCCGCCGTCAAGTCAAATTGTACGCGCTGGTTTGTGTTAACGTTGCGTTTGAACTCTACCAGTGGTTCCTTGTAGTTGCGCATATCCCATTGCAGAAGCTTGTTGCACTTCCGCGCTCCACTAAACAGATACCATTCCCCCATCTCAGTTCCGGCGTAGCGAAGTTGGGTTATTCCACCTTTATGGCCACCTAGCGTAAAGAGAGGTCCTTGTTTGGGGCTGCTGCGAAGGTCAAAGTGTTGGATGTAACCGCTCCAGTTGCCACAGGTTACCGTTTTCGGGTGCTCTGTGGTCTGTGCTATACAAGAGATGGCAGCTTTAACAGGGTAATCGTCACACATGCGGCCGGGTCTGAAAAATGGACAATTGCGTTGCTTAAGTTATAGCATATTTTAACCTGCTATATACCACTAACCTGCTGGTGTCGAAGATCTTAATGCAGCGCTTGTAACCGGCAAAGATCTTCTCTCCATCGTGAGAGAACGCCAGTGAAATGGCGGCCATAACCTCGTCCACAGCGTCGTAGCCACTGTAGCTGCATCGCAGGGCACCATCAAACGCGTCCCACATGTGAACGGGTTCATGTTGTCTCGAGGCAAGCCATCTAAAAGAAGCAAAAGATATAAGATCAGAATTTCCCCGACTTGGTCTACTTACAGGCAGGTGTCTGGTTGCTGGCTGTTCATGTGGGGATACCATACGCAATCATAGACGGTACCACTCTCTGGCACGTGAACAGCCGACTTAAGTTGCGTTATTTGGCGTGTTTGCTGCAGGGTCGTGGCAGAGTAAAGGTCTGCCGGCAGTTCCATTACGTGCATACCGTCCAAGTGTACGGGTACCAACAAGCAGGTACCATCTGGCGACCAGCAGCATCCTTTGGTATAATGCTGGGCGTCTTGCGACGATGGCCAGCAACGCCGGCTTAGCTCTACGAGGCGAGTTTCAAAATAATCTGCTGGATCTTCAATGGGAACTGCCTCTTCCACTTCTTCGCGGGGCTCTATCGCAGCCACTTCCACGGTTTCATCCATGCTGATAACAGAGTCGCTTATGCCATATTGGGAACTATTTTCTATAAGGGCCGGCTCTATAGAAACAACGGATTCGTTAAGGGAACTGTCTTCTAGCTGCGCCTGGCGTAGTTTCTTTATCTCCGCGTCTGTAAGAGTGACACTGAGCTTGGGTAGCGGTGACTCCATCGATGTTTCCATCGTGCTGTTGAAGCTTACATTGTGATTGAGTATCGATGCCGTGAGATCAGCCTTATCCGCGTAGCTCATGTTGGTACTTAAATTTATAGCTGCCGGTAATTCCATAAATAAGCGTAATTTAGCGCACACAAGGATTCAAAATAACACTTACAATCGTCCATGTTGAGGCACATCGATAAATGCCGGTCGGCTAGAGATGGGCAAGTACTCTGTCTATCGATTGACTAATAATATTCGATAACTGTGGGATAAATTTTATTTAAACAAAAGTATACGTTTTATTTTTCATGAAACATAATGTGTATAGTATTTAAAATTTTAAGTATTTTAGATATAAATATATATTTTTCCAATTTTTTTGACTCCTCCCATTTTGAAAATCTGGATGGCGCCATTTTGTATGCAATATTCAAAATTCATGGCGCGAAACATTTTTCGAAACATGAGCCTCCGTAATTTTAATAAAATGAAGAATAAAATAAATATTCAATATTCCCTTTTAGTCAAAATCACTAATCTTTATTTTAATAAGTCTACATTAAGTCAGAGGCATTAAATAAAGTTAATCATCCAATAAATAAAGACGATTGGCAAAAAGTTATTTCTAACGTAAAGCTGTGCCCCATTAATAGATACTTTCTTCTGCATATTGTAGAACATTACGGATATGCTCAGAGGCAGTTCCACTTGCTGTTCGCTAGCATCGAACTCCAGATCGTGCCGCTGTCCAAGCACCAGGCTAGCGTGATGCAGGACATTTTGATAAGTGGCTGCTCCATCCAGTAATGTCATCTCGGCCACATGAAACTCGTACTTCACGCTCAGGAAGATGTTGCGACAACTCAGGCTTTGCTGCTGATCATCGTAGACGCCATGTACGTGAGGTACTTCGTTGACATTTCCTGGATAGTGCAGCTGTATGGGTAGCCACTTGTTTGGTTTTGGTTTGCCCATCTGTGAGATGTAAACCTGGCCAATATCGTCCAGGTGGGTTACATTGTGGGGTAGTAACATGGTCCAGATCTCCGACTGCATCTCTTGGCAATACTCAGTATGGTTGGCAGTTTCCTGGAGTAGAGGGGCAGCCTTGGAAAGTTGGCACTCCTTTTGTAGATTTACGCCAAATCGAAGGGCTTGCTCTTCGTTTAGTATCCTTTGACAGATCCTGCTCTTCGGCTTGCGTGTCAGCAACGGAAGCCAATGAAAATCATTCGTATCCTGAAAATAGCTTAGAACCTGCTGATCCCCACTACTATTAAGAGGCACACTCTTTGAGACAATTAGCGGAGACCTGGGAAGGTACCCAAGTGGTCCTGAAGTGGGTTTGGCGATAAGTTCGTTTACGGAGATAAAAGTTGCTCCATAGGTTAGCCAAATGGGATCGTTTTCATCCTCTGTCCATGAAGCCCTGGTAATAACGAGCTTGGCCTCTAAAATGTTTGTAAAATTGTGGACAAACTGCAGTTCCAGAGCTTTCGGCAAAACATCCAATTGGGTTTCATTTCCCTGCTTCTCACAAACCACTTTGCCACCAACATCCTTTTGGCAGACTTGTATTGTTATTCCATCGTGTTCTGGTTCCTCTGGATCTCGTGGTTTGCCTAGTAATTGGCGGAAGCTGGTAAAATTCATAATATTCCAGAGACTTTCCTGCAACTCATTGGAATCCTTCATCCGACAGTGACTAGATACTGATTGCAGGTGTCGGACGGCTTGCTTCAGTTTGCACTGTGAGCTTTCATAGGATATTGGGAGTTCTAGGGTAGTCAGTTCATTATTTTCCGGCCCCCAGAGTTGAAGGGGCTCTCCAAACTTGTAGTACAAGTTGGAAGATCGGGTCTCTATGGGATTGCTATCATAGGCTTCCAGATCCGGCCATTTTCTTTGCGACTCGGCATTGAGGTTCAAGATTAAGGGTGGAACATTATTTGGTTTCAAATTACTGCGAAAGACACACAGCCATCCATCGTTGATTTCGCAGGAGGGCAGACCGTGGTTGTACTGAAAGTCTTCCAGCTTGGCCTGAACTTCAGGTGAGGTCGTGCTTGAGAGACAGCTAAAGACCTTTTGGACCTCGGAGTTGCAATCGTGGTCACAACAGCAATTGAGGTTGCACTTACCGGCCTGGATATCGCAGGAGCAGTAGTAGTTAGGAGGGTGACTGGGGATCGGCTTTGAAGAAGGTGCTTCAGTGGTTTTCGCGATGGAGGCCTTCGTTGTCCTGGTTGCTGGAATCGACGTGGTCCTGGCTCTATTTTGGGGGCGCGGAGGAAACGAATTGCTTGGGGAACTGGCGATCTCTGGCATTGGACTAGCAGAACTGATGGCATCATTGGACTCTGGAAGAGGTGTGGTTGATAGGGATTCTAATCGAGTAGATCGCGTCGGATTCGCCGTGTCATTTGTGTCGTGGGAAATGCCTATCTTAATGGTCAAGACCGGCAATATAAGGCAACCCAGCAAAGCGAGAAGTAAACGACTCTCCATGGTTACTTGAACTCGACTCCGTAGTCCTCGAATTTTCGGAATACCAACTTTAGATCAACGATTACCTTGCCAGAGGTGAGAGTTTGAAGTTTGTACCTGGAAAACCAAAAGGAAAATGATTATTCTCCATTAAAACCACAGAAACACATGTACTACCTCTCCACTCCTGAGAAAAGTAGATCCGTTTTGCTCAGAGCTGCTCCTCCACCGCCGAACCTCTCTCGCAGGCTCTCCCACCAGCCGCTGGGTGCGACTTTCCAGGTGGCAATCTCAAGTCGGTGTGCTCCGGGTGTTGTTGGGATGTGTGCGAAGCCGTAGCCCACGGGCCAGGACTGATGCAGGACGTTGACGGCGTACACTTCCACCAGGAGACGGGGCCAACCCTGAATGGCGGCGCTGCTCAGGTGGATGTCAAGTGGCTGAACAAAGTCGGAGCAGTTCTGCAGACGGTGCGACGCCACAGGGCTCTGTCCCTGTACCTCGCCCTGCACCAGACGCCAGGCGTTGCCTGCGGAAAACAGTATTGTGGATATGATGGTGGTGGGGGAAGGATTATTTCACTGGAACCTACCGCTTTGCAGGCACCACTTGCAGTACAAATGAGGCTCCGCGAAATCAACTGCTTTCAGTATTTGTCCGATTATGTGCACCTCCGCCATCAATTTGTTTGTTCCACAGTTTTTACTCGGTCATCCAGCTTTTGCATTTGTTTGACAATCGGACTGCGCTTTTCGGTTCTGATGTTTGTTTTGGCAGTTGGCTGTTGGGCCTGTTGGCAAAGTAACGAACAGAGGGCTGGTAATGTCAACTCAGGCGGAACGTCAAAGGAACTGGTTCGCCAGGTAACTTTAAGGGAGCAGGTTCAAAATACCTGTGCCTTTATAAGAAATTTATTTTTCCACTATGTTCCTGAATGAGGGTGGAAAGTGGTATTACTAGAAAGGTACTAGTAACTAGTTTGATATTCATTGGTTGGAAATGAAAAATAATGAAGAAGCTTTATTAGTAAGCACTGCCAACTTGATGTTTTTCTCAAAAGCTCTGTTAATGCATGTGCAAGTCTCGTAACTCACATATTTTGTAAGATTTTATGAATAAACAAAACAGGATCGTAGCTTAAATAAATTTACAATTGATTTCGGATTTTTGGTTACGCTATGGAACGTGCACTTTTTTTTTAAGACTTAATCACTAGGATTTAGGAAAATCCGGCTAAATATGGGACAACACCAGCCAAGAGATGATGAAGAAAAACAGGAAGATTGGGTAAACGGCAAGTGGCTTTCGATGGGGCGGCTGGCTCTGGCCCAAAAACACAAAAGAAGCATATGTAGCCCAGGCGAATCCCAAAGTAGTTGTTACGAAACGTAGAAAGAAGAGTAGTGGCGTGTGTTTCGCCAAAAGGATCACCCGACACACGATCAGAGCAATGGCCACTGGTGTAAGGCAGTAGCCTAAGACGCAAACTGATTGGAAGAATGAGATATTGCCTCCAAGAAGTTTGGAGTTAAGTGTGACGATGGCCGCTCCTATCCAGACGATGACGAATACCTGGGCAAACTCGGGGCCGTTGTCAGCCATGCTGTCTGCGGAGGAGGAACCCTGCAGAATAGTAGCCATGAACGTGCACAGAACCAGGGGTCCCCACAAGTCCCAATCCCGCAGCAGGCTGGATTTCTCCTTGGGATATAGCACATGATAAAACTTGACTCCCACGGCGCGGATGTCTCTTAGTACTGTTTCCCGGATGGGCTCATCCAGGGTATTGTAATCAGGAACACCGCCCGGAGACGTTGTTGTTGTTATCCGTTGGCCCGGAATGGACATCTCGCCCTCCAGAGAAGGAGCTGGCGACGTGTTAACGTCCTCAAACATATCCAGCTTGGAGTCCATTCTTAGATTGTTTACTTGCTGGTTTTACGTTTATAACATCGAAAAAAGTTGAAAATAAGCCAGCTAATAGTTTTGAAAGTGTGACCGTGCGCCAAAAAAAAAGTTAAAAAAAACTCTGTTAAAACTATGTCCTTTCTATAAATCCCTCACTACCATAACCTTTTCTACATAGTTAAACACCCACAAGTATAAAATAAAATGCCTTTTTTATTATACAATTTTGCTATAAGAGTTTATCATCGAGAAATAAATATATATGTCTACTTTAGTGAATACCATGGATCTTCCTTGATTTGTGGAACATTGTATCGGATCTTGACGGGAGCCAGTATGTGCATGATCATGTGCTTGCATTCACTAGATGCCGATGGGGATTTTGGGAACACCAGTGATTGGTTTATCCTCTTTAGTAGGATGTGTACGTTGGAGCCGTCGTAGGGCAGTCGGCCAAAGACCATGGCGTAGCAAACAACTCCACAGGCCCAAATGTCGGACATAAAAGGATCATAGGCCACCCCTATAGGGATTAAGATTTACTATACCTTCCAAAAATTATTTGTTACTTACCCTTTAGAATCTCAGGACTAGCGTAGGCATAGCTGCCGCAGAAAGTTTTCGAGAGGATCACTTGGTTGTCTGGTGTCCGGGTATCTTTGCGAGCAAACCCAAAATCAATGAGTTTCAGATTCCAGTTCTCATCCAGCAGCAGGTTCTCGCACTTGATGTCTCGATGCACTACGCCCTTGCCGTGAATGTATTCCACGGCACTCACCAGTTGCTTGAAAAGGGTTCGCGACTGCGGCTCGTCCAGGTACTTTCGTTCCCGCACGTAGTCTAAGAGCGTTCCATTTTCCGCCAACTGCATAATCAGATACACCCTGAGATTAAGATTAAAAATAAGAATTATAATCCCTTTAAAATATGGTAAGGACACTGACCTATGACTAGTCTCGATGCTTTGATAAAAGGTGATTAGATTCTCATGATGGAGACCCTTTACGGCTTCGATTTCGCGAGGTAAAAACTTTTGGGTGTACTCGGAGGGGGCCTTCACCTTGGATATGATCTTCACCGCCACACGTTTGCCGTACTCTTCGGAGAATCCGATCTTAACCTTGGCATAGTTCCCAGTGCCGATCACCTTGCCCAGAATGATGCCATGCTCCTCGAGAATGGTTTTTTGAGGCTTGGTCTTATCATCGGGCTTCGCCACTGATCCAGGGGTGCCTGCTGGCTTCGGTGGCGGCCGGTCGTTGTTAAAAGTATAGACTTTCTGCTCCTGGCGTCGCCCAGAGTTTTGATCAGTTACGAGGTCTTGTGACGAACTAGCACCAATGACTGCAAATAATTATGTAGTGATCAATGAAGATCAATTTTTAATGTGTGGATGTGGGTACCTCCGGCTTGGTCGGGCTTCCTTTTTGGCGCTGTCGCCATTTAATATAGTACCACACGTGCGATCTAGCAGCTTCCTCCAACAAGTTGCTAAAATAGCGATCCAAACTAAAGATTCATCCAAAGTAAACCATATTCTTATACGTTAAAATTTTGAAAGAGTAAGTTTGGAATTAATTTGACATTTAAGTCAAATATTTCTGGGTTATCAAGTGACAGTGCCCAAAAAGTTTCTTCAATTAAACTTTCTCAGACAGGAAAAAAATATATGTATATATGTATAGTGTTGTGTGCACAATTACCTACAAACTGCACATAGCTGAGGTCCTGAAAGTCATCAGGTCCTGCAGGTCGAGATTCGCTGTGTGTCCTTTGGAACGATATAAATGCTGGTTGACTGTGCATCTGTGGTGGCAACTGCCACAAACAATTTTGACATTGCCGTGTCGAGTTGCGAAGCTGCCTCCAGTGTTAAGGACAGGATATGTAAGGATGTTGTGAAATCAACGCAATGCCATTGCAATGGTGGAACATTAACAGAATGTCCTGAGAATGGAACAAGTCCAGATAACAAAAACCAGAACAAAAGGAGACTGTAACATTTTTAATTGCAACTTGAAATATTAAATTTTTATTCTTGTGTAATTAGGTTTATAAGATTTAATATTTAAACATTATTAAACTTATATATTTTAACCTGGACTTGGCTCGGCTTATTGCCCAAAGGCAAGAGTATGAAACATTCGACTTTTAACAAAGTTTTCAGCTTGTTCATTATGAAATTATAAATATTTTATACAATACAGGGCTGCTGGGGGGTTTTCCGTATTAAATTCCACTCTGCCAATTGCAGGAAACTCTCTTCGCCCCGAGCTCTGTTTCAATTTTTAAACGAAACACAAAAATTTCACTTGCACACGCCACATTGTTTCTGGCGCAAAAAAATATAAGATCCCCAGAGTTTCCGGAAAGCAAAATGAAAGCCTCCAAGCTTGGGTCAGGATATGTTGTTTGCAGTTGTCCTTGGCCGCACTTCAATCGAAATTCACAAAACCGCCCAAATGACCTAAAGCGGATATACGTAAGTCTGAAACTCGGTAAGAAGAAATGCCAAACATTTTAAAGTTTCATAAATCAAAACTCAAACAATGTGCAGATTTTTTTGTAAATAAAATCAAAAGAAAATATAGGTAGAAGGAATTTTATTGTTTTATTTATATATTTTGAGGGCTTATGGACTACACCCACATCGAAACCTAGGACAACAACTAAAGCATTAATTAGAATTTGTACCAAAAACAGTGCAAAGATTTTGAATCGCTGTTTAGGAAAGCTTTATGGCTCACTGAACCATACCACCGAATATTGAATAATATCCCCCTTTACCCAGAGTTTGCATAAAATCGTCAAAACTATGAATATTAGTTATCTTGTTACTGCAAAGTTCATGAATTTTTAATCAACCCAACAGACACATAGCGTCACTCCCGTCCGCTGAATGCTCTTTGTACATTTGCATAAATCACAATCAACACAACCGTATACCAGGTACCTCAATGACCTGCAGGCGTATTAATTTATAGCAAAAATACATGTAAATTACTTGCGGCGATATTCCACACAACAGCAACACCACACGCACGTCCTCTTCATTCATTCTTTTCCGACCAGCAACCAGAATGAAATGCGGACCTGCTGATAAGTCGATCGGCTCTGAAAAGACGGCTATGGTATTTTTTTAAATGTGACCACCATGCCGGTGCGGCCAGGACATGGCTCGCGATGGTGGCAGAGAGACGAAACAGCATTTACATTTAATAAATTCAACTGGAAGCGCACAAATAATTTATAAACTTACCCCTTAAAAATGGAGAAAACAACAAAAGGACCAAGAGGTCAAAAAATGCAGTGACCGTAAAGAGGTGGTTGGGCGGAGGCTCTGTGGGGGGGTTATCAGGATGGATTTTAAAATGGATATTTTACCTCCATCCACTTCCCGTCACAGGCTACAATGAATGTGAAAAAGAAGCAACATGCGTGCTTAATATTTGCACATTTTTAACTGTATATTAATTTATGTTATTTTCTGTTGTTCACTATTTGGCAACGTTTATTTTCATTTGCACTGGCAGGCATAACTGTCAAAAAGAGAATTTTTTCGCTTTTTTACACTTGGAAGTGGTTGTGTGGAAAAGGGTATATTGGGCTTATATCCTAGATCTGTAAAGATCTTAAATTATTCGAAAAAGACTTACAAATTTATTTGTAAACTGTTTTTACCTTCAAACTTATTCAGAGCCATAAGGACTTTCGCTAAAGAAAAGTTATCTTAAGATAGGGTAGCTGCATTTCGATCCTTTCTGGAATTCATTTATTTCGTTGGTTTTATACGACAGCACCAGCAGCTGTTGACATATTCACTTATACATACACACATATGTATATGAACATATATACCTCTGGAAATGCATATTGCAATTGCCTTGTGCATGTTGCCGATTGCAGTTCTGTCCTTTTTTTATTCCGTTTTTATTCGGTAGCAACGGAAATTCACACAAGAAAGTATGTCTGACACAACAAACTATCACTGGGAGTCTTCAAAAGGACCAAAGGACATGTGAAAATAGATTGGTCTTCCATTTTATTTATTTACCTCAATGAATTTAATAGTTTCGAGACTTTATAAATTGTTTCTGTCAAATAAAACACTACCTTTATTGAGAAATACGTATTTCTTAATGAAAATATATTTCAGAATTTCATTTTGGTTTCAGTTTGTCTTTATATCTATGTTAAGCTTGAAAACAATGCCATTATTTTGAGACCTCCATTGCCTTGTCTTGTTTAACATTTTTTGAATCCATGGATTTGACAAGTCGGGACCAGCCCCCAGAATGCTGGAACATAGTACGTCCAGCCACTTTAGTTTTGCGGCTTTTATTGTTGTGAAGACCACAAAACCCAACTCCATCTTGGTCTCGATTTAAACTCCCTGCGCGTATCCCCCAAACATTCCGTCTGGACTCGGAGTTTCTCCTTTGCGAGACTCTGATTTCCCAGTCGTTTCTGTTGTTCATGTTCATCCGCTTGCTTGGACTTGAGCCAAAATATTATTTTATTTTCGCACAGAATGGCAGGCGTACAACAAGGACTCGAAACATTCTCCACTGATTTTCCACAATTTGTTTACCCTTGGAGAGGGCTTTGGAGCTCGGACTTAAAAAGGGTGAAGACCCTAAAGGAGACACCTCAATCCTCATAGTCCAAGCATCCAAAATAACGTGTATATTTAGAATTTCAACACTTTATAAAGTCTGCTGTCTTGAAAAATAAGCATTTGATTAAAAATCTTTACTACTAAATCTATCCATAACTCTATGCTATAAAATATTCTTTATATCCATTTTCCGCCACATTTAAAAACCCATTCTGTTTTTTCTTCGAACAAAGGCGTTTCCATTTGATCGAAATTGGTTCAATTTGAATTTGTTGGCAAAAATAACAGCTATACAAAGGAATACATTTTCATTTATTCATTCTTTGGCAAAGTTTATGGCATATTGTTTATTATTTTGGCTTATGAATGGATTCTTACGTGATACGCGGCCATTAAAACCATGTGCTCGCAGCATTTACCTTTCGCACCTCAGCACCTTTTCTCGGAGCCAAGCTTGCATTTATTTTTGGCTCAACTTTTATTAAAATACTTTTTCCTGAAACGGTTTTTGGCAGGAAATTGATTACACAGTGCGACAGTGATTTGGAACTTTTGAAGAGACCTAGTAGGAATTGTTCATTAGGTCGAGTATAGTATAAAACCATGTTTGAAATTTTTCCTACACCCTCAAATCTTGATTTATTTCGAAAAAACGGTTTTTCGAAAGTGTTTTGCTCTTAAAAATTCCTGAACGCGCAATTTTAGGCCGATTTTCAATTTTTTTATGTTTTTCAATAGTTAAATGTTGTAGCTTTTGAAAAAAAAAATAAATCTTCAATTTATTTAAACAGAAAGGATACAAATTTTACAAAAGAAACTGACTTTTTTGAATTTTTGTCACGTTTTTCAAACTTTGACGCCATTTTTTCGGTACAACTTCCAAGAAATGGTATCATTCTTAACACATATTAATATTGTCTCATTAATCCTGAATAAAACAAGACCAATTTCATTACGAAATTATGAAAATTGTTGAAGCTATTACGCTTTTCCCAAAACAAGTCAATTCAAATTCGAGCGCACCGTAACAGTATGTAAGTACCAGTATGTAAGTTAACAGAAAGATAGAAACTCAATGGAAGATTATTCTTGTCAGTCTTATTTTTATTGATTTCATAGCTTTTATCAATGTTTAAAAATGCTAAAAATGAAAAAATAAAAGCTGAAAAACGTGACAAAAATTCAAAAAAGTCAGTTTCTTTCGTAAAATTTGTATCCTTTCTGTTTAAATAAATTGAAGATGTATTTTTTTTTTCAAAAGCTACAACATTTAACTATTGAAAAACATAAAAAAATTGAAAATCGGCCTAAAATTGCGCGTTCAGGAATTTTTAAGAGCAAAACACTTTCGAAAAACCGTTTTCTCGAAATAAATCAAGATTTGAGGGTGTAGGAAAAATTTCAAACATGGTTTTATACTATACTCGACCTAACGAACAATTCCTACTAGGTCTCTTCAAAAGTTCCTCCAACTTTTCTTTTTTTGTCGCACTGTGTTATTGATATTTTCGATTGAATGTGGTCCATTTTCGGCATCCCGTGAATTGTATTCCCTATTGCGGTGAATACATATATCTTTTCCCATTTTTAACTGATTCTTGATCGGAATACCTCAATCGATTTTTAGGAACACATTTTTTTAAAACATTTTTTGTTACATTTTTAAAAAATTTGGAAAATGCACAGAGGTACAATATGACTTGTAGCGAAGGCTATATCTTTGCCAACAATCAGCCGAATCTTGAGCGGAATACCTTTAACGATTTCTACATCGATTTTCTATCCATCTGCACCAAAATCTAAAAACAAATTATTTTTTAGATTTTTTGTAAAATTTTCTGGAGGGTCCCCTTCAAAAATATACAAAAATGCATGGGACCACAATATGGCCGACAGCGATGGCTATATCTTTGGCAATACTCATCCGATTCTTGAGCGGAATACCTTAAACGATTTGTACGTCGAATTTCTATCCATCTGCATCAAAATCTAGAAACAA